GTATTGCCTGATGTAAAAGTAAGAAATTGTCATGTATCAGTTGGATTGGTCATGTAGCAATCTCCTGCAGCTTGAGCGCATTGATAGATTTGTATTGGTCATTCCTTCGCATTCCGCGAATCCAAAGTGAACGATGTGGTTCCCGCTAACCATATGTAAACGTCGTGATTGTGTTGCCTCGAGAAGTTGACACACACACACAGCACGAGAACAGTGATGGTAAATCATTAGTAGACATTAAAATACCCTGGTCATCTAGGATGTGTTCGGGACTAGCTTATCGTCTCTTAGCTCTGACGATAGCTTCCTGTTCCTCCTTTTTCTCCTTCCACCATTGCTTCGCGTACGCGACAGAGTCCATGATGGAGGCAGGCTTGACGCCGTGCTTAGCCTCAACGACAGGAATGCCCAGCGCTCTCCTGATTACCGGCTGTCGCAAGAGCAGCGTCTGGATTGAGATTCCGACTACGCTGCTGACGACGTAGACCATGACGCCCTTCCGCGAACTGATTAGAATAAGTAACTGAAATCGAGCGAATGACATACGGATGGTAGGTTCCACATCAGCGGGACACTGACAACTGACAGCACTCGAAACAAGTTGATCATGTGCGCCATGTGCGGAGCTGCAGTCATGTCTTTCAAGCCAAGCTTCAAACGAAGTATAATAAGTGCGGGGAGTACAGTAACAGACCGATCACTTACGGAGAGCTGAACGTTCATCATGACGGCGGACGCAATAGGCAATATGCACGTCGGATCTGCGACTGTCAGATCTGGCAAGAACGAGATCCCGCTATAATGGAGCTGCTCTAGCGGCAAGTCACAGAGTTTTTTAACGCCGAAAAACATGCCTAGCGTGACGGGCAGCTGGACGAACGGCAGCAGCGCCATACTGGCCATGCTCACGCCGGCCTTGTCGTAGATCATACGCTGCTTCATCGCTACACTCTGCAACGTGAGCATGTCCTTATTCGCCTGTGCGGCTTGCATCTGCACCCGAAGTGCATTGACCTCGTCCTGGTACGGCGCCAGCGCGGCAGTAGATCGCATTGACCGCACAGTGAACGGGAATAGCACGACACGCGAAATGAGGGTTGCGCTGATGATCGTCCAGAACCACGGCATGCCAGTGGACACTTGAAGGAGTTCCATGCCCCATCTGCAGAGTCCGGCAGGCGTCCAGCTGGCGAGGCCGAGGGCAGCGAGGTCACCGTACTGGAGCGGAGAGGGGATTGGAGGCGCAGCGGAGAGATCAGGGAGGGTGATTTCAGGAGGAACAGCGGGTACCTCTGCACCCACAACAGATGGTGCATTTTCGAGAGCCTCGGTAGATACTGGCGCAGAAGCTAGGTCCGCCGAGGACTGCTCAGGCAAAGGTGTCTGTCCCGACAGCTTCTGAGATGCATCTGGCACGGAAGGTGCTTTCGAAGACGACCACCAGAAATTACGGTAATGCCGAGGAATACCGTAGAGCTCTTTCGGGATAGGCGATGGTCGCGCATACTACACGCGTGCATTTGTGTCAGCCTCATACTACGTGTAATTTTGGATACTGTACCTGCATAGAGGCCATTGAGAAGAGTCGCGCCTGAGAAGAGCATAGTACATGCCTCGATAAGCTGCTTGCTGGGTATGAGAAGCTGTAATGCGGATAATGTTGACTAGAATCTCACCTGGGGGAAATATGCCCCACCCTCATCACCCGATACATGCCTATGACCGCTAAAAATATCCCCTAGAATGACAGATTGGCAGAGGAAAACAAGCGATCTGCACACACAGTGTGACGGAGAGGTACCAGTGAGACTCAGCGCTAGGCAGCGCGCGTAGAACTCGGGAACGCACGTGACAGACGCGTCGGAGATCGAGCCATACGGGGCTGCAGCGATCTGCTCTTCAATCTCAACTTATTGCATCCATCTTGCTCCTGAGATTCAGTTCTTACCATCTACACGCCTGTCGCGATGATAATGCATAAAGAAACAGGACAGTCATTAATTATGGGAGTGGAAACTCTTGTGGCACGTGCTAGCGTCCTAATTTACGCCGGGCACTACCGAACAAATACACCTGTCCGCTATGAACTTTGCGTGACTTTACCCTAAGGCATGTTGCTGTACTTGCTCTCCTTCTAACGCGTAACTTCACGGGCGGCTGCACGTCCTCAGTCTCATAATTCTGTCGCAAGATACAGGTCGCAATGATAAGCAGAACATTATTCCCGCAAAATCATCATCACCAGCACTACTACAGGTATGTTTTTTTTGTTGCTTTGTGTTGTGAATATATACAAATATCTCGACAGAGGACATCGCGCAGACACCTTTATTCCAAACGACGTGAATGAACTCGGTGTGTGGGCTGAATATACACGCAATCTTTACTGACCTCCCGTTACTACGCACTGGCAGTCGAAATACGGGCAAGGCAAAGGACGTTCAACGGTGCTTATGAACGCAGCGCTCTGTCAAACTTGGGATATGCTGTTGCCATTCTACGGCTATTTGACAAACGCTTTACACAAAGTGAGTAGATATGAACATTCAAGATACTTGAGATTATAATGGGTCGTCCAGTCAGTATCGCCTACACCCTCTTAGCGGGGCTGCTTTACATCCTGGCCTACTTCCGACAACGTCGCTCGCGCCATGACTTCGCTGACCAATATCGATACGAGACGTATATACACGCGATCCCAACAGTGGGTCAGACAGGAAAGACCAACTTCGGTCGACCGTTCATTACAGCAGGGTGGATAGTCATGGCTGTTTCTGTTGCTGTTGCCCTCGTCGAGATCGGGTTGTTGTGGCTTATATTGACTATCGAGCTTTCGCCAGATTCAGATTTCTACTAGATCTATCCCGGTGGGTGTGATTCCATACACTAGACATGTGTTCACTGATACTCATTCACAAGAAAAGCATCTCGATCACTTTACGAAATAAGCACGATACCTACGACCCCATTTACGACACTCGATCTGTTCCAGCCCATGCCGAATCTTCAAAAGGATACTGAATTGCTTTGGAGCAGTAGGATCTGATATGTTCGAATCAGCTGCGATACTATATCTCATGGTTTGGCATAGAATGAATATACGTACGTAATGGGAGAGGCTGCTGCTATATCTATGGATACCTTCGCATCACATATGTACGTAGAATCGCTCTGCTGCTCTAAATTCACTTAATATAACGTTTTTAGAGCCTACATGCAGCCATTCGATTCCCCACAACAAAGCTAAAGTACTTCGTAAAGTCTCACAAGGTTAACTCATGTGATAAGTGCATGTCGCCTGTCCCTATCAGCTAAACTCACAATTGACAGCCGGATACGCGTGTGGCTTGCTGAAGTACACACGTTATTGGGTAGAGACACAGTTCTCTTTGGTGTGAAATTACAAACGCGCCAAAAACGGTGTGGCCATTATACTACCGTTGTCAAATAAATAACGCCTTTACAACTTCTCTAGATATCCAGCTTTGTATGCGCAATTCCCAACTTGCTGATTTCCCGCTTGGTATACTCATAGAACGCGTAGTGGTCAGCTGGCTCCACAAGCAGTCCAAGTTTATTGTAAGGCCTTTCACTGTGAGTAGGCCTCTTTCTCAATAGGCGGAACTCCACAAGAGTCTTGCTCAAAATGGTATACGTCAACTTGAGTCCAGGACATGCATTACGAACGCTGGTTCAGCTGGTTTGACGATACGACAGCAACTCGATTAATACGTCTGAACACCCGGTCGCTATAACCATGAACGTCATATCGTAAATGTTCAATGGATTCAGGATCAGATTCGTTAGTTTTGGTGTGCACGTTGGGTTGGGTGCATGCGCTTAAGTTTGGCCGGTTCGGCGCGGCATCGGCCCGGATTGGGTCCGGATAAAGCTCTTGGGTTGACTGACTCGGACCTGCCTCGCCGAGAGACGGGACAAGTGCAACCTGGCTTGGGACGACCGAACGAATGTAGCCTTGCACACTCTTTCCCCCTTTCACGAAAATATTCGATACCAAGGCTACTATACGCCCTCCATCTAAAGTCTATCTTCACGAAAGGTTATCAAGTCGCAGGATGATCAGCCGAGCTTCACTTTCGCAGAATCACCACCACCACTACTACAGGTATTTCACTTGCTATCTTGTGACTTGAATAATTGGGCTATATCATTTTGATAGAGGACACCGCGCAAACTCGTTTATACCAGACGATGTGAATGAAATCGGTGTGTGCGCAGAATATGCACAGAGTGATTGCTGACCTCCTATTACAATACAGTCGAAATACGAGCAAGGCAGAGGACGTTTGACGGTGCATATGGACGCAGTGCTCTAGGAAACCTGGGGTATGCTCTTACCATTTTACGGCTATTCGACAAACGCTTCTCTCGAAGTGAGTATCTGTAATTATTTAGGATAGTCCCGACATTATAACCTGTTATTCAGTTGGTATCGTCTACACCGTCCTGGCGGGGCTGCTCTACATCCTGGCGTATTTCAGACAGCGCCATTCCCGTCATGACTTCGCTGATCAACATCGATATGAGACGTCTATGCGCACAATTCCAACAGCAGGTCAAACAGGGAAGACCAATTTCGGTCGACCGTTCATCACGGCGGGATGGATAGTCATGGCTGTTTCCATTATCGTCGCCCTCGTCGAGATTGGATTGTTGGTATTAATATTGACGATTGAACTTTCACTGGGTTCAGATTAAATCCACTTTGGTGAGCGTAGTTCCGTGCGCTGTGCATGTGTCCGCGTATATTCTTAAAAAGGAAACACAGTTTCGCGAGCAGCCCACGACATAATTCAAGATATTCGATCTGCACTCAATCACATCGGATCTCCAAATGAACGACAGACTGGAGTTGATATGTCAGAATGCATCTGCTATACCTCATAATTTGCGTAGAACGGATATCACGTACGTAATGCGGGAGGACTGGCTTTTTGCCTACATGGGTACCTTCGGCGCCATGTAAGAATGTATGTTTACCTTGTTCGTCTACTAGTAACTTCACTTGATCTGATGTGTAACCGTTTGGTGGAGTATAGATACAGTAATGTATTCTACAACGAAACTATAGCATTCCGCAGTGTCTCACGAGGTGATCAACGTATTTCGCATGTGCCCATCGCCCACAGTTTAGTTGGTAGTCAGACGCGCAGGGGCTGATGACCCTCTTGTGAAATCAACACTAATCCCCGTGACATAGTGGAATTTGACTCTGTGCTCCGAAATTCCAGTGCTACTGTATAGTGGTCAGTTGTTTTCTCTCAGTCATCACCACTTGCGCGTAACGCCTGGTGAGCTAATCATTGTCACAAGACTCTTCCGAATTCCCATTTCTATTGTACTATTTCAGATATATTCCCTGAATAACTGGCCTGAGTGCCGCTGTTCATGCTCTAGGCTACCCGTTTGGTCCAGGCAACTCACTCAAGGCATATATGGGATACTAATCCCACTAGGTAAGCGTAGAGGTCGGGTTCTGGTGTTCATAGATCAATCTAGGCTCATAGCTGCGCCTTTCTTGTAGCATGCAAGCCAAAATGATACCGAGCTTCGGATAACAGACTTTGTCCGGTCGGTATCATCAGGATTGTTCCAGCATCACCGCGCCTTTACTCGGATACTCTGGGTCATAGGATTACAACTTTGCTGACGCATCGTAGACACGAGCCGTGGGAGCGCGCCTCCCACAGTCGATTAGGGTGAAATAACAATTGTGATTTGACCTTAGGGCGAGTAGCTGGTAAGTCCTCCTGGGATTTTTGCCTTCGTCGTAAGAGGGGTCACTTCGCTCACCTTGGCTTCAAGGATCGGGCTGCTAGCGCTGACTTTTTCGACATCCTGATGGTGATGGCGTGTGTCCGTAGATTTATTAATTGGGCATAGCTTCGTGACATTCTTCGAAGAGAAGTGTGATGGCCAAATGCGTCATGATGTGCTGTCTGATCCCACACAGTGCGACCTTCACCCAGCCTTGTATGTATACTCGGCGAGACATATCGTGGGCGGACATGAAGAGCCCAATAGGGACGGATTACTCCACCAAGAGTGCAAGTGGGACCACATATTTTACTCCTTGGTGACTATCTCGCACAGGTGTGTAAAAGCCACTTTCTTAGCAATTGTGCCGAGTCTGATGTCAGTTCTCGGCATAGCTCGCTCGGTGCAGCTATATTGCTACGCGCTGTGGCCGGTGACTTCGAAGCTTGGCTCTCTATCACGAGCTGGTCATGGGGTGAATCCATCACGGAGCTCTCAATCGGTCTATTGCGGGGCCGTCTCTTTCGAGTATGGGCCTGGACGGGAGGTGAGGTTCATTGGTGGGCGGTCAACAACTGCGGTTGATCTAGAGCTCGATCTAACCCCAACGCATGTACTGAATGGGCCTCAAGACATGGTTTGCGAAACGATTAAGCCCTCTATGGCTCCAATCGAGCCCTCAAGCACCCCTTTCTATACTCCTACAGCGCCCGTTCTTCGTCGATTCTCCCGAGGGAGAAGTATATGGGCGGCCCTCCGCTATCTGTACAGGAAGAACAGCTGACACATCGAATCCAATGTTCTTATATATAAAGAGACGATAAAAGCACCAGGCAGGTCACTCATCTCCTCTATCAAAAATGACTGCCAACATTTCATCCAGAGTCTGTGTTATAGGCGCGGGGGCAGCTGGTCTGATTACCGCCCACACTCTCGTTCAAGATGGATACAGCAACGTTGAGGTCCTCACTCGAGATGCCACGCCTGGTGGAGTGTGGTGCGCCTCGAGGACGTACCCGGGTTTGCACATAAACAAGTGAGTACGCATTTCCGATCTACATACTGTTTGATTTAAGTTGTTGTCAGTGTCCACGGAGAATATAGATTCTCTCCTATGCCAATGCCTTTGCCTCGATACGGAGGGGGCGCGCTCTCTGGCGACGACATGTGTGCGTACATGGAGAACTTTGCCGCTCGCTTCCTGGGGGATAAGATCAGATACTGCACGGAGATATTGAAAGTACACCATGCCACCGCTCCCGACTCAGGCCACCCCGCGGCCCGTAAATGGCTTGTGTATGTGCAAGACACGAATAGCGGCATACGAGAGACACTCGAATACGACAAAGTTGTCCTCTGTTCGGGGGTAAGGTGAACCCTTGATATGTATTTCGTGCAACGCCATGCTCAACTAGGTTTGTAGGGGTGCAGTGAGCCTCGAGTCCCCCCATCGCTATCGGAGAAAGCCGCGGATGCTCGAGGCTTCAATGGTCCCGTCGTTCACTCTGCCGACTTCTGCGAACGACTGGACGAAATTCTGAACGCGGTAAAGCCGGTCTCAGAATATGCTGATGCTTCAGTGGTTGTTATCGGCGGCGGTAAATCGGCTCAGGAGTGCGCTTCTTTACCGACGTGTATGTTATTTAATGAGCTGACTTGTGATCGTTAAGTCTCTCTGGAATCCTAGCACGACATGGAAGAAGAGTATCAATGGTGTTCGCAGTAGCTGACATCCCGCTCACAGCGCCGTTCAGGCTCCCTGCTTGCATTCGTAGGAGCAGGTGTGATATGAATTGCACCGGATTCTAACAGTTTATTGATTGCATCCACAGATTGTTATCTGTTTTTGCCCCGCACGTTGAACTACGTACAAGACTAGAGTAGAGTCTCTCTAGTTTGCATGATACCGCACGTACTAATTGTTTTTACAGACGATTTTTACATACCACATGGATCGGAAACAAGATTGTTCACGGAGTGTGGGACTTCTTGACTTGGTTGTCAGTGCGTGTCTTGATTCGATTGTCGTTGGTGAGTTTGGTACCAACGTTGTTGGTCGTATACAGTTCAGGACATTGGGTGTTCCCTCTGATTCGCCCCTGCGCCGCACACCTGGCTTGTTATGGGCGATTCACGTCAACAACCTCGGAGTGCATTCAGACTTCCATGCAGAGATCAACAAGGGCATGATCGATCTCATCTCGCCGGTCCATGCCGAGTGCTTCGCCGACGATCGCCAAGGCATTATTCTAACTGATGGACGATTTGTGAAGGCAGATGCGGTTGTGCTCGCGACTGGTTACGGCTCGTCATGGGACAAACTTTTCGATGGTGCGTATAAGCATTATTCTTCCCTTTTGTCATAGGAGATACCGATGGCCGCTTGATTGCCATGAAGAAGAAACAATGGAGGAATTGGGGTTTTCCAAGGAGCCCGATACTTACGAGAATGATCGGGAGTGGAAATACATGTCCCTCGCTAACCCTCCGGCCATTCGCCCCGGTGAGCAGAGGTCGTATCCAATGTACCGAGGACTTGTCCCTGCGAAGAGCATACTCAATAGAGATATAGCTATGAGTGGTACTGTCGTAAGAGCTCTTGGTCGTCGTATTGCATTTCGCTGTCAGCTGACATTGGTTCCATTCAGTTCACCACAAATAACGGCTATTCATACGAAGTAGCCTCCCATTGGATTGCATCTTATCTACGTGGGGATAAGTTTCTCAAACTGCCAGACACTCCAGAGGCGGCGCTAGCTTGGTCGAGGGATAACGCAGCATGGTTGCGCAAGCGTCATCCACACGCACTCTTGTCTGCTAACGCAAGCTTCAGTGGTGATTTTGCATTTTGGTGGTGAGAGTCATCAATATTCCGTCACTTCCGTCACATGGCTGATCGAATGAACATGTCTATCAAGCTGGCCACAGTTGATGGATACACTCCTGGATGATATGAGTCTTCCGAGCATGCGAAGCGGCGGGAACGTATTCACTTGGCCGTTCAAGGTCATTGATCTGAAAGAGATAGAAGATTTAGGAAGGGAGCGGGCTGTCCTGAGGGAGAGCTTGTAAGAAGTTTTCGACCCATCCTCTGCATTTGCGTATACGAACTTTAGCATGTAGATATGTGACAAAATTGTATGATAGGTATCATAAGTCATCGTACAGATTTGGAAAGACAGGTCCGAGATTTACATGACGCGACGGACATGAGTAAAGAGTGAATATCAGGCTTAACGTCATAAACTGTAGGCTCTCCGGAACCTACTGGTGCGCTGTGCTGAACGCGTGTATAGGTTCAACAGTTTCGTTTCAAGCTCGAACGTATACATATCTCCTTGCGTCCCGAAACGCGGTCACGTGTGCGCGTCGCCCGATGGCCCATGGGGTAATTGCCGTAGTGCTGATAGCGACATTCATCCCTGTCCTTTCCGATTTCCGAATTCCTGCTCCTCATGTTTCTCGTGCCCATGATGTTTTTTCGCCCTCTACGTCTCTTATCCCACAGTCCTTGTTGTCCGTTCCAAGCTGAAACATGTCCGATTCAAAATTTCAGCGAGACGAGAAAGTACTTATTCGTGAGCAAAGTAGTTTGATTAGCACGGATAGCGAAAAGCCTCGGCGATTGTACAGGTATGCATGCAGCGTGCGATGGATGCGCAAATTGCTGATAAGCCGTTCAGAGGACATCGATCTAGCTCCTTCTACATAGAGGACGACAAAGAGATACGTATGTGGAATGTCTCAATACCGCGATTCAGACAGGCCCAGCGTACTGAGACATTCGCTTTTCAGTCGAGATTCGTGCCAGACAGCGCACATTTGATGGGGCTTTCGCCAGGGGCGCGATGTCCGACCTGGGCTATGGCCTGATGATACTGCGTCTTTTTGACAAACAATTCTCTCCAAGTGAGCGCATTTTTCTTTGCTACTATGATGGTATACCGACATCACCTCTGTAGTTGGAATGGTGTACACCATCCTATCCGTACTCCTCACCATGGTATCCTTCATACGACATCGCCAATCGCGTCATGACTTCGCAGATTGCTATCAGAACCAGACATGGAAGCACGCTATGCCCACAGTTGGCCAAGAGGGCACGCGGGTGTTTGGCAGGCCATTTACAACCGGCGCATGGACGGTCAATGCGGTGGCTGTCATTGTCGCCTCTGTTGAGATTGCGACTTTTGTGTTCATAATGCAAATGGATCTAGCCGACTTGCCCACCGAGGAAGGCATCGTTAGTAAGTGATATATACTGATTGTAGTGACGCTGCAAGCAACTAATGAGTCTTCAAGCAATGGCATAGCAGCATCGAATCTTACTCGCACATTGAGAGAACCAAAGTAATATTGAACTGTAAAATTGTAAAATTTTCAGATAGTTCCTACTTCTCGAGGTTCCTACCTCTTCCTCTTGACCTCGTAAATATACTTCAAAAAACTGTCATGATCAGTGTCACGGCCTTTAGCTATTGGAGGCTTCCTCCAATCATAGCAAGCGCGAGTACCATCCTTTCGACTGTGATATTCAATTCAAGTCCGCCATGAATAGTACCAGAACAGATGCAAGCCTAATAATATACGATAACACTCAACAATCAGCATCTCTAGCTCATAAAACTCTGTCGCGGTTTTGGCCTTCGCTGTCCCGCCGCAGCATAGGACTACCCAATCCTCGTTCTGTGCGACTCTGATCTATGATGCCTGGCGTCAGCGCCCGCGCCTCGTCGATTATGCCGTTCGCCACACGCGTCACCGCAGTGGTCAAATCGACCTCAACGCCATCGTCCCCCTCGTCGTCCGACTCCGCAGGCGTGCCGATCCTGCTCCCATTCGTCGTGCTCATCCCCGACGTCCGCCGTGCCTTCCGGGCATGGAACGTCCGACTTGCAGTCGCGTTCGAAAAGAGCGGGAGCAAATACCGCTCGTCAAGTTGCTGGAACCACTTGCTCTCATCGCTCCCAGCCCCGTTCGATGGTCCTGGGCCTCCAAGCGACCCGTCGCGCGACTTGCGGCGTCCACCGGGGTAGGGCATCTCGGTGATCGCTGCAGTCGCAAGGGGGAGCACTTCGCCGTCATCATCGAACGAGTCAGACGATGCGGCAGAGAAGATGGTATTATTACGGATCGGGCCTGAATTCTGTACTTGGTGGTTGTACATACGCGGGCTGTCGCTGCGTGGGAAGTTTGCCTGCTGTGATGCGAAGACACTTGGCTCTTCTTCCAGGTATTGGTTCCATCGCGCACTGCGCCTATTGTACCACCCGGATCGCGCTGTAGGCATATCTTCTTCGTCGCTGCTACTTGCCTCGTCATCCTCTACTCCAGTGCGAATGCCGAGCACTTCGAGCATCCGGGCCGTGGTGCCGCCAAATACAACGACAGTCAGGACAACTACCACAAGTACTGTTGTTCTGAGCGTTTGTGCGTTCTCTCCCTTGAATCCTGCTGCAAGCGCAACACCAACTGCACCCCGGAGGCCGGCCCAGAAGAGCATCATCTGATACGAGTGTGGAAGCTCCTCCTGGCGCTGGCCGCGCGCATGCCGGTGGAACAGGTTGATTGCCTCTGAGAGCGGGAAGACAGCTGCATAACGAGTGAATACGACCGCAACGGTGGTAATGGTAATGAACAGAGGCTTGAAGTAGCTGGTGATTTTCGCTGACGAAGGAGGACTAGTAAACAGCGATAGCCCAAGGTAGATGAAGATGAAGTTCTCCGATAGCTGCGCAAGGGTGGAGAAGATGTATTTAGTTGCGCGCTGCGTACGGCGTGACATGGTGTGGTATGCATAGTGTTTCAGTGTGATGCCGCAGAAGAGGAGAGACACGATGCCCGACATGGACAGACCGTTGGAGAAGAAGTAGCACGTGTATGCGGAGAGGGCGACAAGGCATGACTCAATCGATGGATAGAGCATTAGTGACGAGTGCTTCAAGATGAGCGACATTCCAAGCCCGAAGATGACGCCGAGCGCCATAGAGACGCTGAATGACAGCAAGAAAATCCCAATGCCGTGGAATAATGAGGACACGTAAATTTCCGACCCATGGAATTGGGTCAACGTCCTGACGAATCGCGGTAATGATTGAACAAAATAGTATATCAGAGAAAGAACATAGTACGTACTCGTACATGACGATACTGACTGCATCGTTCAACAGACTCTCACCGAAGATTACGGTGTATAGCTTGGGGTCGACCTTGTACTGATTGAATATCGCCAGAATCGTTACGGGATCTGTCGCAGATAATGTGGACCCGAATATGAGGCACTCTATTAATGTCACATCCAGTGACTCTAAACCCAGGAATGAGTAAATGTAAACTAGCACCCTGCGCTGCATGTGGTGAGCGCCCATATGTGACAGGAGAGTCGCGTTGAGTGAACGTACCCTACGCCAACCGCGGATATGAAGGTCCCGAGGAATGCAAAGGTCAAGATGGACCCGAAGTTCCGAAAGAAGTTCTCCTGAAGGGAAATGAGACCCCGCTACTTGTACACTACACCAGGAATGTCTACTGACCTGCTTGAGTTCATAGCCTGAATTTAGAATGATGGGTGGCAGCAGGAGATTGAAGAAGAGAGTATGTCTAAATGTCTAAGGTGATACAATCAGTATCAGTAATGAGATGTATGAGGGAAGATTGGAAGCAAAGAATATCAATTCCATGACAGATGCTGTATGAGGTATTCATACAAAGGTCAGATCGCCAGCCAACATAGGAACCTTCATACCAAGGCACTCTGAAAATGAATTGGCCCATTGACACTAGTCCTCATGGGAATTTTGAGAGAGAAAGACAAGATGTGAGATAAGACGCATGGACGAATACCAACTCCCAGTCAGGTGCGCGACCCAACACTAAGCGAGAGATGGCATCGAGTTAAGGCATAGCCGCCAAGATAAAAAGGATCATGCCAAATGAACGGGACGGACAACGTAAATTAGACATTAATTGAATTGAGAGTAGCGAAGAGCTCTTTCTGCAGAAGCGTCCCCTGTCGCGTGCACTAGCCCTGAGCGGCTGGGCACAGCGGAATGCTGAATTCTGTCCTGCAGCAAGATGCAGGAGCAAATCCAGAGTGCGCAGGAATCACCCTATGCATGACCCATATCTACTGCCATCTAAGTGGAGGAAGCAGAAATGGGATCGAGTCGGAGATCTCAAGTGTGGCAGTAAGGCTCTCGCGTGGCCTTCTTGCACGTTACACTTGTTGCGTGACCGAGTATCGAAGGCATACTAATACAAGACATTCGTGAATTGAACGGACGCTCGTGGAACTCACCAGCATCTCTCGTATCATCGTCCCTGGAGCAAGCCGTACCACCAATCCCACAATCATGCCGCCTATGATAGCGACCAAAGTCTCATGGATTGCACGTATGCGCTTGATTTGAAGATAATACGATGTAAAGAGCGACAAGACAAGGAGACCGCACACAAGGAAGAGGGACCATGACGAGTAGTACTCTTCCTCCTCTGGTATTGGCGTCGACGTGGGCGAAGGTATGGGGAGGGTCGGTGTTGCAGTGAAGCTTGAAGACATTACTGGGAATTAGTGAGACCTAGGGTAACCGAGCTCAGGTGCAGCGAAGACCGCAGACAAATGCTCGGGAATTGAGTGTGAGCTGAGCACTGCCGAGGATGAGGAGAGACACTTGTCCCGCCCTACGCAGCTACTTTCAGTCTAAAGCACGTTCGTGGGAACATATCTACTTTTGGAAATCATTGATGATCCCACCGACACGTCTGACTCTGGGATGATCGTCGGACTCGGACTAGCCTCTAGTGAGCATTCTCTAGAAGATGGCACTCAGTCACTCTGCTTCGTTCTCTCAACAATGAATTGACGAGGGTGTCGAACTTTACCTTGTAGCATGTTCTCTCCCATATTTGAAATCTTTCTGCACTGCTTATGGAGCAGGTCGAACACTGGTAATATTGATGCACTTCGGAACTTCTGAAGGCGGTTCATGGAAATAACAAAGCTTTAACCAGGTTTTTACCGAGGCTGGACCAAGTATGTGGTGATTCAAGATTTAAGTGTGATGAATGTAATACGACTGATGCCGCATAGTGTTGAACTTGCACCAAAACACTAGGACTAGGTCGCGGCACACATCTGTTACTCTTCAGCTGGAAGCTATTCGAGCGACATAGCACGAAACTCGACCCCTTGCTGGGTTTACGCCAACACCAAACATCAGACTGTTACGGCGCCTGATTGTACCAAAGTTCGGAAGTTGGCGTCTTGATTCCAAACATACGGGACTCATCGCGCAGCGCACTAGCGACACTCATGTTTTCTGAAAAATAAATGCTGTAAAGTTGCGACACTCTCAGGATCGAGTATATCACTTGTTGAAGGTATCGGTCCAATTTCGTCGATGTGTTGCGATGACACTTGGTTGCGACTGGTTGCGACAACATGTCGACGAAAGAGCAACACACAAAATCAGGCACAGTAATCTTCAGCGCTGAATATTGAGCGTTTACAATTAACAATGACCCTCGCCCTCTCGTCTTAGAGTTATGTCATGCTCTGGTGTCTGCAATCTGCGATCTAGACATGCCAAGTCCTCGTTGTATTCTGGATGGTAAGCTTTGACAGCCTGGGACAAGGCTCATACGAGTCATGATCATATGCCTTCGGTACCGCTAATTTGACCATGCTACTTAAGAGGCAGGAACTCACTTTCCCCACCAGCTTGAAGGCCGTATACTATTCCATAGCTCTGAGTATTGCCAGTCATGAAAATCTTCTGCCTGGGGCTCCTAGTCTTCCCACTCACCCATGGTGTGCTGGGAGCCTATAACCTGGTGCAAGAGTACTCGGGGCAGTCCTTTTTTGAGGGCTGGGATTTCTATGGTGCATATGATAACACGACTTTGGGTGCGGCATTCATAGGAAATGCTGTGATCCTGACGGCTAAATTCATGTGCTTTTGCAGGAGATGTTTTCTTTGTGACCGAGCAAACCGCAACCACTTTGCATCTTGCATACGTGAATTCCGCAGGAAATGCAATCATCAGGGTCGACAATACGACATCGGTCCCAAGCAATCAGAAGCGTAATTCCGTAAGTGCCTGTAATTCTGTATGATGTCCACAGGATCAATCGCCACACTTGTACAGGTCTATATTTCTACTGCGACGTATTTCCCAATAGGAAGTGTGTTCATAATTGATTTGTCCCACATCCCCTACGGATGCTCCGTGAGTATTTTTGTACTCCCCGAGCATCCGTCTTAACAATCACACAGGTGTGGCCAGCCTTCTGGACAAAAGGTGCAGATTGGCCGACCGATGGCGAGATCGACATCATCGAGACGGTCAATCTTGTGAACAACAATCAGTACGCGCTACACACCGGATATAACGGTTGCGTTGCAACGAATGTGGGCCAAACAGGTACACTAGCCAATGCCAATTGTACCTCCACGGCTACAAGCGATGTCGGCTGCACTTTCGTGAGTGCCTCTGCATCCACAATATGATTTTTCAGGACATCTCACTTATCTCGTTGATGCTTTGGACAGCAAGAAACCCAGGCAAATAGTGTGGGCTCAGGGTTCAATTCAGCTGGTGGTGGCGTGTATGCAACTCAATTTGATGTATCCGGCGTTTAGTACGTACACGTGATCGTGAGGACCATTCATCGCTGACCTCCGGCGTCCAATTAGTATCTGGTTTTGGAGTGTACGTCGTGTCCCTCCGGACCTAGGCAACGGGACTTACGGCCATCTTCCAGCGCGCAAACATTCCTTCCTCCATTTCCTCAAGCACGACCTCAGTGAACACGTCCTCGTGGGGAAGTCCGTCTGCCGCCTTCCCTGCAACCGATTCCTGTGATATCAGCAAGTTTGTTGCACCGCAACAACTTGTGCTCGATATCACACTCTGTGGGAGCTGGTAGGAGATCCCACAATGTCTTTATAAGGTCTTGATTTCATGTCATGTCATCAAGGGCTGGCTTGGCTTCTGTGTATCAGGAGACGTGCCCCGTGAATGGAACCGCCGGTCTCAATACCTGTGTAAGCCCCATGTCAAGGAATCAGCCTATCCACACAAATCTAAAGGATATATAGTACGATAATAACGTTATCGATAACGGCACCCCCGCGTACGCAGAGGCTTACTTCGAGATATCCTACGTCAAGGTATTCTCACTGAACGAGACTTCGACCAGCACTTCGTCGAGCACCTCATCGTCAGGCAGTGCCTCCACGTTGAGTAGTACCTCCACGTCGGGCAGTCCGACATCGAGCTCTTCAGCGAGCACCACTTCCACGACAAAAGCCTCCGGCGCGATTCCCATCGTCCAGCTGAGGAGCACCGCTGCCGGTGTTTTCGCAGCCATGCTGACCCTGTCGTTGATTTTCTAAAGATGGGAAGGCCTACGTTCGGACAACCTTGACCGGCGTTCCGATCCGTAAGGTTTATAGACATGTTTCTCGTGAATCGCTTGGTTCTTTCTTGGATATATGGGTATATCCTGGGTAATAATAGTTATGCTGCAGGCTTGGTTTTACCCTTCAGTTGTATTGCAGTATTTCAGGAAATCATATATGCACTGGTGACTAATGTATGCAGGATGCGCGTTGCTTAGTCCAAGCTCTTAGTATCAGTGTCAAACTGCTTCTGCCACAGCTAAGCGATTTCATAGCTGCCCGAAATTCCCAATCTGCATTAGATCGTCCCCGCCTATGAAATATATCAATGACATGTGGCAATCGGCGGCATCGTGTTTTGTGGACATTCAAAAGTAAGGGCATATGTCCTGCCATTACACAAATTCAAGCAAGCTGTATAAGCCGAGCAAGTCAATCTTCAGCATCACTTTGCCCCAGATGCGGAGGGACGTAGTCCACAAATAATTATGTAGATCTACATACATATATCATCCTGGAATGTCCGTAGATTCAGATCGCACATTCTAAAGCAATGAGTTTCATATATCCGGCGTTTCGTGAGAGATTTCTAGCAGTGTGAATCACAATAGGCTCGCCCATGGAGCTCGACGCCCATTGGATTGAGCGAATGAAAGGCAAGTGTATCAATGTAAACGTCATAGTGGGATCCGCCCTTGTGCTATTGAACGGCCTTGCACAAGTTGTAACCACATACAGCCTTAAGTTGCTTCCTCGTCATCACGCCTCCATCAGCTTGCACTATGCTCAGAAAAAATGACACTCATTCTGGGGTCTTTTCCTTCTGGATGTATGACCGTGAGAATGAATATCAGAGCTTGACCGCTCGTTAAAAGAGAATTCAAATAATGGAGAAGTACATTGCGTACTAAACAGTAATCGTAGATCCACGAACAAAATTCAACAGCAATATACATACACCGAAGGAAGCAACGCGTACAGAAAGATAACAAACAACATGGAAAACAAATAGATGATCTGCAACACAAAGCATCTCAGCAGCAGCATGATCGTGCATAGCCATGATCAATCAACGCACCACATATATCATGATATAAATTAAGTTAAGGATGCGTCCTTGAGGTTCTGGCGGAGAACGGAGTCCAAGACTAGGTTCACAGTAGGTCAACAAGAGGTTTACGGAAATGAGCAGCATAGTCAAAACAAGAAACACATAGCACGGTGAGCAAAATCGCGAAGACAACGTGCAAAAACAGTACAAGTGTCTGTAGCATCGTAAAATAACACTTAGCAGAAGGGAAAGAGATATGAGAGGGTTCTATGATACAAGATGTGATGCCAAGTAAATCAAGATGGATGAATGGATGAAACATGGCAGATACAGTTCGTGTGGTCTCGCAGCGAACTCCAACGCCGGCCCAATCCAGAGGTAGTCAACATTGCAAAGAAGCCTATATCAGGTCTACTGAGCGAAGATGACCCTGCAATATGCCTTCTTCCACTAAAGAGATGGAAATCAACATTATATGCAGGGGTCGGAATATTGGAAACGTGATCATAATATTGGAAGCGCACTTACCGACTCCCAGAGTCGCAGCAGTTGCTGTCGTATCCTGGAAGTGGATAAGTCAGTTCAATCCCCCGTTATCTTACCGAAGTCAAACTCACGATGACAGACGTCATATGCACCCGGAAAGTTCTGGATTCCGGCGAATGGCGCCTCATGATTTCTTTAAAATGTGATGAAAAGTCTATCAAATAGCCACAGTCAACCTCGCCATAGAAGGCGGAACCGTCCGACTCACATTTACTCGCAGTCACAGCATCATTCGAACGGTCTCCGTAACTCCGAACATGATCCTTCACAAATATCCCGCTCTTGAGTTTCTGATCCAACAGGTCGCACTTGTTCAGGAACAGGATGATCTGCGTCTTCGCGAGGAGTTTCGATGAACAGACGAGTCTCCAGAGCATATAGCTGTCCTCCAATCGGTTCACCTTGCGATCTTCCGCGAGCCGCTCGTCGAAGCAACTGATTGGGGCTAGGAAGATGATTGCGTCGCAGTCGTCAAAGTAGGGAAACCATGCCGCGCGCTAGGGTCGAAAGGTAAATCGACCAGTTCAAGACTAAGCACACTCGATGCATTACCTGTGTCCGTGAGCCCCCCACATCGTACAATATCCAGTCTGATCCTGTTGCAGGTCCTATATTGATTCGTCAAAGCAACAGAGCTAGATCATGACGGCCGTTACCTGTTTCAAACTTGATTGGGTATTCCTGGACACCAAGGGTACGCAGACGAGCCCGGACAATATCATCGTCAGAAGGTTGATAATTCCGCATAGCAATACGCTCAGCATCATTCAAGAAGCTATGGGATGAGGTCAGCATTGTGGCAAATCTGTAAAACATGTACTCACAAGCCTGACATCGCTTCCATCCTTATCCGCCGTTTCCGGAGCATCTGCTGTACGGTTGCGTCATCCCATATTGCACGCATGTCGTCTGCGCAGCCAGCAATGATCTCCGTGGCCTCGTGGACTTTGTTCTCCTTAAAATGCTTTACGGCTGCCTGCTGCGACTTGTTATTCAGCTTCCAGGTATGGTTGGCGCGGATAAAAGCCTCCTTTGGCCGTGATTTGGATGCTGGGGGAGATAGTGCTTGGGGATCACCGGGTAGCGCGAAGAAAACTTCTTCATTGGAGGATGTGCCAATGATCTGCTCAAGGTCCCGCTGAACTCCTCGAAGAGGTCCAAGGCGAAGCTTGAGTAGCGCATGTTTGTCAGTAAATCGTAGTGGTGCATTTGATGGGGAGCCAGGCAGAGGGGAGTCATCATCGCTTTCATCCGAATCGACACTGCCCTGCAAAAGGATACTGGGATTGGACATCTCCTCAGATAGTAGATCGAGGATCATGTTAACATTGCGTGTGATGTTGAGCTGAATGACGATCCGCCATGACTCGCGCTCTTCCGCCCATGACTTTGGAGAATATGTTAACTGGAAATCTGCACAGGATGCGATCAGACCAGCTGATGGATCACAGAGGCGTGCTTACTCTTGAGCGTCGTCGACTTGCCTGCCAGAGAATACCATATTGAGTGGCACAGTATCGCATGTATCGACAAATATGCACTCACCACTCTCACTTTGGCCGAGCAGCAGCACTTTGACTGGCTTCTTCTTCTTCAGCGCCGCCCTCTCGGCCTTCAGCTGCTCGTCTATCTTCTCACTGACGCTGCGGGCTTCGGCCTCAGCCTTCAACCTCGCTTCCTTCTCCTCAGGTGTCTCGTTCGGTGGGGGAGCGATGGCAAGTGTGAGGGGGTCATCGTCTGTGGAATGTCCCATGGTGGTGGTGGACAAGAGGAGAGGTGGTCGAGCCAATCAAGCGCTTTCTGCCATGGACAGGTGGTTGTTGTATATAATGCTTCAAGTCTGGTCACCCGCTGTCGCCTTGAAACCAACAGATCTCGCGTTTTTTGCAACCGGCCCTAGTACGTTGCTGACATAACGTATGACAAGGAGATCAGCAAGGAGGGAACGCGGCGGAAGCGACTGGCCACACCGTGCCTGATGGAAGCGCCCGATTGCCTTTTGCGATAATATCGGATTTCTATAGCGAATTATTCGCCGCGTGGGAGTTCATAATAGTTGAACCCCTACCCAGATCAATGATATTTCACAATAGGAATGCTATTATCTACATGAAGGCTTGTATGCCCAGGAAACCTCGCTGTATGTGGGAACCCAGCATATAAATCATCTATCGTTCCATGCTGGGGCTGATGTTGTGGTCCGAAGTCGCCGAGATGGTCTTGGTACGGTAGAATAGCATGTGGCCGGAGCGCTGTTGCTCAATACACTGCAAACACTTTGGGTTGCCTCTTGAGACGAGCTTGAAGACAACGTGAGTATTAAAATATAGACGGAAAACAACAGTTTGTACCATATATCAAGAGACTGGCCCCTGCAATCTGCATAGAGCCAGAATAGCACGCGACTGCGTGCCAGTTCCCGCCTGTCGCCTCGAAAATCGCACCGCTGAGGGGCGCTCCAGCCGAATTTCCTTTGGGTACACCGTCAGGGGGCAATTAGAGAATGAGTAGTTCTGAGTGCCAGTACATACCGGGGAGGTTGAAAAAGAGCAAGAGGGCGGACAACCCGGTTAGCCGGTTCGCGCCGTACACTTGAGCGGCCACGGTCGGCGACAACGAAACAAAAACAAAGCATCCGCAGAAACAGCCGTAAATGATCCCAAAGACTATCTAGTGATGTGAGAGAATCATCAGTAAGCTGGACTCTGCGAACACATAAAGCAACGGATCCAGGAATCCGTGATACGTACGATTCCGGCATAGGTGGTAACGAGTTCCAAATGACGAGCCGGGCGAGGCCCGATAAAATGATTGCAATGAACAGAGAGTTCACCGGGCCGATGCGATCTGCGATAAACCCAACCGAAGTGCGGCCAACGGCCATGGATAGATTGAGTAGAATTAATGGCAACGCTGAAAGCTGAAAAATGATCAACTTTGTCAGTAAGTTGGTCGCCATGGACTTGAGTGAGATATCAATCACGAAATCGCTCGCGCCCGGCATCCTCGCAATCACATCTATTGGCAGGAAGAAGATGGGTGTCAGATACCCGCTGTGGATGACCTGAGCTAGCGCCCCAACGAAGCCGAAGCAATAATCTCACAAAACAGTGAATAAGTAGCAGGATCCTAAACTCCAGAATACCGGGTCTTGAAAGAACGTCTTGTCGAACCAGGTGATGTCCGGTCGTCTCACCGATGGCCGCATCTCTTTGATCAGCAGGAGGGCCGTGGCGAAGCACACAGCGTCAATCGCGCTGTATATCATAAACGTTTTCTTGATACCGGGGGTTGATAACATCTTTAATAGTAGGAGCGATGCAACAGCGCCGCCTAAAATGGCTGAGCCAGTAGAGCAACTGAAGCAGAAAAAGCATGAACTTAAGGAGCATCCAGCAACAACGATGCCAGTAGCGAACGCGCGACATTTGTAAAACCACTGGGAAGGCAGTGCCACCTGTGTGGTCATTAATCGCTTGTTGGACGTCAATGGAAGTTAGCGAAAAGATACGGACCACTAGCGGAAACATGAGCGCCGCTGCAATGCCTTGGACCACACCCTAGAATTGAATCTAAATGAGTTGGGAGCCTTTGACGCACAAATCCAGAGCTCCTACCTGTATGACAAAAAATTGCCACAGCTCGGTGCAAAAAGCAGAACCTAGCATTCCAGAAATCCAAATCGCGGAACCAGTCGCCAGAAACAGCTAATTCCTGCGTATGACTACCATGATGATATGATCAGCTGTTACAAGGTGCCAACCTTGTAACCACTATCCAGTGGTATCAACATCTACTCATCTGAGCGAGAACTCAAACATAGAGACTCACTAACGATCTCCGAGCTTGCCAGTGACGTACTCGCTAGTGTCATGATCTGCGAACAGGCAATCAGCTATTGTAGAGTAAGCAGCGAACGACTCACCATGCCAGAAGTACTGCTCAACGTGGTGAGAACGGTGCTGGAGACATCAGGAAAAATGTTCTCCTGGTAGTAAGTCTGTATGACACCCCATGCCTACGAGGACATGAGTACAGGAGGAAACCAAACTGTATAACAGGGGACTGCTGTCCGCGATGCTCATGAGTCTTTCCATTCAACACGTGGAAACGACAATGCGACGTGGGGGAAGCGTTCAGTCAACAGCCTCGCTGTGTCGTGTACATATCAAGGACATACCCCCAGCCAAGAGTGGTTGATGCAAGCATCACACATCCGGTGATGACAAGCCATCCGCGTCAGCCATCTGGATATTCGTCCGGCGATGGGACGTTGCTTGAGGGCGAGGAGGGAGCAGACAAGAATCCCTCCTTGCCCTCTAGATTTCCCTGAACAGCACCGTCCAAGTCACCAGAAGAGAATTCGATCCGCGTCTTCTCTGATTTCGGGCTGTCCATGGCATATATCGAGGAGGCAGAGGAGACAAGGGCTGTCACGGAAGGAATAGGGCTTCCCTGCCGGGTTATCTGCAATTCGAATGGGATGTGGGGTATTTCATCGTGCCGGTGATAGGATTCCTAGCATCTGACAAAAGCAGATGAGGTCCAGAGCACTCCCTCACTTTTCATGTGAGTAAAACGAGGGCATGTCGATACACACATGATTTTGACGTCAACCATTGACTGCTTCGCCACACCTACAGTCATCGTAGACGACCCGCAATCAACCCAATGGAACGCACCCTCTCTTAGTCCTTTCCTCGAACTAAGGAACACGAGCTCGTCAGGTGTTGTGTAATCGGACCGGTCGCCAAGCCTCCTGACAAGGAAGTTTCAGCTATGCTCTGGGGACACTAAGCATTAAGTTTTCTCCTGAAATAGAGTGTTCTGAGCACACGTCATTGTGTAACGACAACATCTGGTATAAGAGCAGATATGGGGTAGTCACAATCCTTCTTCGCAGAGAGATCGTCGCGTTCAGAGTATCCCAAAGGGCTGGCCATGGCTTCGCGGAGATTACGGCGATTATAATTAGCTGATTTGATTTGATGACATGTCTCTGCGCGGTAATGTTTCAGAATTCCTAGCCGGTTTCACCATGTCACCTCGATTGATGTCACGGACTTACTTACCTGAGAGATTGGCCATGTGTTCCATCGCCATTTCTTGGACTTTTCTCGTCATATTTCGAGGAGCGTAGGCTGCTCATAGTATGGGAAACGTACGAACCAGACACAGCTTGAGATTGGCCTTCGGCTGTAAGTAACTGCGCAAATATAAAGTGGCATCATAGCACGCAGAATAGCATCAGGTATCCTCGGCGGCGACTCAAGTTACTGCCGCTGCCCCAACGCTGCTCTCCTCCGAAGTATGCAAACGTTCAAATGTGGGCGGATAGGCTCTTGATGAACCCAGATGAGCATAACACCATTTAAATTCTAATCAAAAAACTTGAGAGGTCATTTGGTCCAGAAAAATTTGCGTGAGTGTTATAAATTGAATATAGAAATGCAAGAGTACGCCTAGCCCGCGAGTGTTCTGAGAGAGCGATCTACACAAGTCGCAATGAAAGGGAAACCTGCCCTATCCTACGAGTTTTATTCAGATAGATTAGCCCCGATATATCGACACAATGGATATAATCTCGCCAAAAGGGTATCCATCCGTCATATCTGTGAAATGGTGGGACCCCGACAAGATGCAGATAGTTATCGTGGTCGTCTACACATCTTGTCGGGCTACCAGAAGTATGTCGCGTATAGAAACTAGATCTTCCAGGTCGTAATTACAGCAATACTTAGTCGGGAACAAGCTCATGTGCACCTCTGGATTTTAGCTGGGATTACTCCTGACTGTCTCGATCAGTGAACGATCCACAGTTTCTAAATGAGGACACTTACTTACTATTCTTGGCGAGGTTGATGGATCATAACAGTGTCGCTGAGCGTCAAGTCAACTCTTCCGACTGTTCACTCGGAGGCCACTGCGACCAATTGTGACCGAAGAGGACATCGCGACGATAGCGTGTGAGGCCAACCTTTCTTCCAGCGAAACCGGTTGAATCTTGGTTCGGCGACTGCAGCACTGCACGCCACTCGTTACCTTTTGCTGTTCGGGGAGAACCGCCCCCCACTCGCCCGCCTCGTTCCGAGACAATGTGCATTTTTACATCACCAAACCACAAGTATAGCATCGCCACGTTTCTAGGGATTCGGGAATGCACTAATGCCGCACATAACTCCACGAAATAGTTGAATATGCCAGCAACCAAGGCGAGCAAGCGGGAACCTCATGACCACAATTCGCATACCTAGATAGAATAGAGCCACAGACCACTTGCGGACATGCGCAAACCACACAAAGACAAGGCTAAGGAAGGCAGTGAAGCGAGGCTGACATCTGGAATGGCGGCGGCATTGTCGCTTGTGGGAGGAAATGCGGCCTAAAGATCACGTGCTGCGAACGCGGTCGGGCATGGAAAAGGCTGGCATCTTCGCGGCGAGGCAGCAGTTCGCCGCCAGGATCTTTTTCTTCAACTTCCATCATCCCCTCCCTCCGCTGTAACAAGACTCCCCCACCGGTCATTTCTCAATATGCGTTTCGCCGCCCTCGCCGCCCTTGCCCTCATCCCCGCCGCGCAGGGTAAGTGGTCGTGCGGCTCGTCGCGTGATACAGTTGTTAATTGATTTTGCAGCTGCGATTACCATCCTTGGGCCGTCTCCGTCCGAGTACTGGTACGTTTCTTATAAATTCCTTCGATGCAGAATATCTTGATTTTTCTGACATTTTCTAAAGGGTTCAGTATACCACCAACACCATTACTTGGACTTATGCATCCGGTGACCCCAACCCGATCAACATTGATGTCTTTAACACACACAACACGACCCTCAACGGTAATTTCTCCATCGCGTCTTACGTGAATGTGTCCCAGCAAGTGAGTCAGTTCTTCTCGTGGTGCATCAACAGAATACTTACATGGAGAACGTCTTTTCATAGTCATTCACCGTGTGAGTCTTGTGCCACATTGCTCACTCGCTGACGGAATGGAGTCTAATTGCTGCTATCTTGGCATGCAGCACCAACGTGACCCTCGTTACTGGGGGTGACTACGCAATCCGCTTCATAAGCCCGACGAACTCGAGCATGGTCTACGCCACTAGCCAGCTCTTCTCCGTCATGGCCCCGGGCAGTGAGCATTCTATCAGGCTTCTGTGATACCTACGGTAGTTGATCTTCCGTTCTAAAGCCGCACCCGCTCCTACAACCAGCGCGAGTTCTTCCGCGTCGAGCACCGCTAGCGGATCCTCTTCCTCCAGTACTTCTACGACTAGTGCTGGCTCGGGCCAGAAGTCAAGCGCTATTCGCGCTGTGGGCTTGGAGTCCGCGCAGACAGCCTTTGGCATAATTGCAGCATGCGGCGTTGCGTCCCTATCAGCTCTGCTTCTCTGAGCCCGACTGATTTCCTCAGCGCGCTCGCCTTGCCGACATGATCCGCGGTGTCTGTTGAACCAATACTTCCTCTTGTACAGCGTCCTCTTCATCATGGTTTGACGTGTGCGAACAATCATATCCCTTCTCTTGAAACCTTCCATTCCTTGATTCCGTAACTTCGATTGTTCATAATTCTCTGTTTGTGGACTCAGGTTTTTGTGTCAGGTAAAATGTCTCTGTAGGTGTATGTCACATTACGGATAACGTTTACTGTCTCCTCGGTATTTGTTTGGCTGTTGGTGTTATGGACATATGAATTTGTTCACATTATCATGTGGTATACCCTACGAAATCGATCAGTGGCGGAATCACGGGCGAGTTGGACGCAGGCGCATTGCCTGGCTGTGTGGTAATTGCTGAGAACACTGTCTGGCTGCAACTGCTAGGAAGTTAGGCTATCTGATTTTTCATTCAAATGAGAGGGCTCCTGAGCTAATACTTCGCCGCAATATGGACAGGTCACGGTCTCCGCTTGCGAAGTTCAAAAATAGCGTCGGCGCTTTGTCCTCCGCCCCTCTACACCTGTTTGCAACTAGCCAAGATATAGAATTAGGAGGATCGTGCGCAGCTGACTGATCACCAGCCAGCATGTCGCAATTTGTTGTGGGGGATACGCACTAAATTGAGGTCAGCTTTTAGTCCGTTTGCGCCGCTCACCGTTTCGCACTTGACAGCATGTGGGATTCGAGCGATTGGCACGGGGTGAGCATCCGCAATTCAGTTCTAGGGAGTAGAAGGCTTGCTGAACTGGGCTCCTGGGAGGCCCCGCGCGTGGTGATATTGCAGACCCGTGTCTTAGTGGTTCTTGAACTTCGATGCGTTCTCCGTCGTAGGACCCAGGGTCCAATATATCGGCAGCGTGGATATCGCATGCGGGCGATGTTGTCCCCTTATTGGACAGGTCTCCTGATTTCGAGAGTCGAGACTGCTCAGCAGGCATGCGTGGATGTGCTGAGAACTCTGCTACAGGATCCGGACGAGGCGCCACAGGATCGTGAGGATGTGGCGGTGAGCGCTCGATGCAGGGACCGCGGTGTCGTCAGCCTCTTGCTATTGATTTATTCCTGCTATCGCATAGCTCCCGCCGTCATCGTATCGCATTTCCCTCCGGACTGCTCTGAGCGGAGCCATCATCGGTCATGTTGCGCTCACAGTCACGATCCTATCTTACCGGAACGCTTGCCCCTACGGTGTCAGGCAGAAGACCGGGAGGTCCGATGTCAAATTCAGCTGATGTCCATCTAGTGGGAGCCGCGGCACATGTGAGGCTAGAAGAACTTGCCATGTCAGACTCATCCGGCGGTCGTCATGCAAAAGGGACGGATGACTCAATATTTGCTATCAGAAATTCTACTCAATGGGTCTGCGAATGTCTTGAGTCCTGGGTGATTCAAATGCGTGTCAAATAAACTCTATGGCCCTGCAGGATACATCAGGACGATTTGATTTGATCGTCCTTCGCTATAGATGGTACCTTGCCTCAGATCGTGCTGAAGAAATATTGTTCCAGGAGGATGCTCGGAGAAGGATCATACTTGAAAGAGGGTCCCACCTATTGGATATTCCTGCTATGCCAGTATGACCCACGTCACGGTTTGAGTCGGCGTTGCAAGCCTATTGGTATTGTGTGAAAGTGTTGTCAAATAGGACGGAATCGCTGCCCACTTGGGCTGTGTGTCCGCAAAAAATCCTGTGCTTTATCCCAAAGAGAACTCCTTTACGAAGAAGCACTAGTTCACATTCCATTCTTCTTACTATTGATCATGATGGCCGCAGGACTTGCGCAGGACAAGCCGAAATCGAATGGATGGACATGCCGACAATTTCGATTGCCACCACAAGGACTACAAGCTGCATGAATTTGCGTGGGGTTATTCGGGTAAACAAAGGGATTGCTGAGGGAGATGTATCATGCAACTAAGCCACATAAGTCCCTATGTTCCGCTAGCTGTCGCGTCACATGAGTAAACATGCTGACTGCGAGATTTAGGTGGAAATCTCGCGTGTACATACAGTAAAATAATATTGGTCGATGAATTATCTGGCCTGAGCTACGCGAATATTCGCGGAAGCTTAATTGTCGGGATGCGCATGTACAACCGTGTTTCTAGCCTGAGTGGGCCAGCACGCGTCGCGGGAAGTAACGATCAACGCGTGATCGTCACAGCCGACTCGAACTTGAAACCACACTAAGTCGGAATGACTCTCCCGCATCCAAAGGATTTTCAACATGCTCAAGGTGGCCGTTTCAGCATTACCTGGGCTAGTATCTCCTCGAACTAGCAGGTGTACGTCCAATATCATTATTTCGCACGCACCGGAGTTATTCTGTCACGGTCCATTGGATACGTCTGTGTGCCAGTGGACATCACAAAGCCCTGCTGGTGAGCTTGGCCCTCAGGCTGCCTTGGGAAAGCCTAGGAATATAGGGCCTGCGACATCTGCCGCAAGTCCGCCGTAGACATGGGTGATGCGGCGGGATTAAGCGGAGGCGGAGTGAACCGTGCGCCTCGCGCGTCTTCCGAGCCCGACTACTTGAACCCCTACCGCAACTAGCACCGACAGCACTGGATAAGCTTTCCCTTTTCCTCCCACATCTAGGCACTTCTCAATTCAGAACACGGCCTTGTATTCGCCTCGGGAGCATAATATCTTTGATGGCGGTCCACCTCCGCTCTTTACGGTCCAACGTATCAATCAGTTATGATTCAGTGCCACGTATCCCATGGGCTAGACATCGCAATCTTGTTCATGAATGTGCATTACAAGCCTCTTCTGCGCTACCCACAGGAATGTACTAGCTCTTCCGCGTACCTGACTCGGCGTTCAACATTCCAATTCTTGCCCCCGATCGGATCCGCGGCCCATGCCGGCTTGCAGCAGTTATGCTGGACATGTCCACTACTTGCCGCATCTACGTAGAGCATTTACCTGCCGGGACACCCGTTTATCAAGGTTTGCAGACAGGACGCCTTTCTACTTTTGATTCAGCCACTTACCAGATCGGAAATTCAATTTCATCAACAGATGGTCTGCGCCTTTGTCATGGAGCGCGTCCCGAGTGCGCTAATCGTTCTCCGGCACAGACATATAAAAGGCGGAACATGACAGTGTCCCAACAGCTCCCTTTGGCACCCCATTAAGCCTCGACTATGACTCGGTCTGCTGTCTACCTCTACGACGTCAAGTCTACCTGCGACCCTCCCGCATGGTCCCCAAACGCTTGGAAAGTTCGGTATGTCGCATTACTAGCACTATCCTCTGTTCTGACGGGGCAATAGATTCGTTCTGAATTACAAGGAAGTACCTTACACAACTCGATGGCTGTCGTATCCCGATATAGCTGACAAGCTATCTTCGGCCGGAGTACCACCCACGCGAACGGAAAAGCCATTCTATACCGTTCCGTCCATTATCGATCAGTCGTCGGCGAAGTCTCCAGTCCACCTCGCAGACTCCCTCGTCATCGTCAACTACCTGGAGAAAACGTACCCATCTCGGACTATCTTCCCCTGTGGCTCGCGCGACATTCAGCTGTCGTATAATGAAGCCATCCACAAGCACGTTTACACCCCGATGATACCGATGGCCGTCCCGAATACCGTGCGCATTCTCGACGGCCGTGATTTGGAGTTTTATCGCGCTACGAGGAAGGACTTTCTGGGTGAGTCTCAGCTTCACGTGTATCATTCTGCCCCTCTGGAAATTTCCCTGTTCCGGCGGTTCCTGACCGTGCGTCGACGGCACAGGCGTTGCTCTCGAGGATATGTTTCCTGTGCACAAGCAGGCATCGCTCTGGAGAGACCTGCAGAAGGGTTTGGACGAAATTTCCGCGCTCGTCGACCGTGCGCAAGGGCAGAGGAAGTGCGCGTCGCGGTGGCTCTTCAGTCCGAATGAATGCCCCAGCTACGCAGACTTCGTTTTAGGCTCCATGTTCATCTGGTTCAAGATGGCTGGCCCAGAGGGTGGGTGGGACAGAGTCTCCCGTTGGCATGGAGGGCGATGGGGGCGGCTTCTGCGGGAACTGCAGCCGTACAGTCAAGTTCGGTGATATTATGAAGGACCCTGGACGCCGCAGCCACCGTAAGCACCTCGCCGTAAGCAGGCTCTGCATCTTTGGCTCGCGATCGAACGATCAGACATGACGGGGAGAGAGTACGGACTTTGAATATCCAAATGGTGTCATGAATCATCTGTACTATCTTGTAATCATCTTCGGGCGGATATCCACTGTATCGTAGGCTAAACTATGTAGAGTATCGTTTCCACCTAATGACCACATGGCGACAGCATAAGGTCCCAGAAGGTCCCCGCGCTCCAGAGATCAAGATACATACATTCGCAGTCTTTGCGACACGATCTACCATCGCGGAAGTAACTACACTTCGGAACGATAAGACCGGGCGACCGGAGGGACGAGGCGCCTCAAAGACCTATCGAACGGGTCAGCAACACTGCTGAGACGCCTGCGATGCCATGTGACGGACCTCAGGGCCGCAGGCTATGCCTGTTCGATGCCCTGCTTTTCGTTCTCGTGGTCGCGAGAATCTCGATTCGCGACAGCATCCCCGAACTTCGGCACGTTGGAACTCGGACCCTTGTAGTGGCGATGTGCACTATGAACAGATTTAGTCTAGTTTACAGACGTGTTAGGGCGGGCGGTGCGTACCCGCAGACAAACCACAGCCTTCCGAAAAGAAGATCAGTTGTGTCACTAGCGAAGCCACGGAGGTCGCTTACCCCGAGAGTATGATCACTCCACAAGTAATCACCTATCAAGAGGACGCCGTCAGGGAAATCGCCAAAGGCGTCCATCTACAATGACGTACCGAGGCGTAATTCATGTTCGACTGCGTCACCGGGAGTTCCGTGGGTATGCAGAAAATGACGCAGACGAAGAGTGTCCAGCAGATACAAGCCAGATTCGCCGCCCAGCCAAGGATGCCGTCACCCATGTAGAATGGACCCGGCTTGAACGTGACCTCTGGGTGGTTGCGATACAGCCGTCGCCTGTGCGCATTTCACGCCCCACAAAAAGCGTGTGCGATCATTATCATATCAACGTTGACAGGATAAAAACGTCACATACAAGAAGATTGGGATAATGTATGAGGAATCGAGCGCTATCGCACACAGGGCAAAGATGGCGTTCGCGGCGATAGGGCTCGCAAGGTCTAAAAGTCCCGGTAAAATGCTTACAATGGTCGTGAACCACACCGCGCGAAGGGGTGTGGTTGTCCACGAGGTGACCTGACCAAAGTAGCCACCATCGGGTAGCGCTAGCGGAGGGGGAATACAGAATCAAATTGGGCGCCGTCAATCAGACTCGTGTTTTGATGAAATGAAACAGCCAAACTTGTTATGAGACTTACCGTGATCACGGCTGAATGCATATACCATCCGAGAACAAGCCTGGAGGGACGTCTGACAGACGAAGAACGCAGTCAAACAGACCAAACTCTGGAGAGTACAAGCGCGAGCTTGAGTTACAAGCTGTAGAAGCAGGAGCATGAACCATTACCCATAGAAAGAGCGCTCCAGGCGTTCCGATCCGCAGCACCATGATCTGGCGGGAATTTTCTAAGTCCCAAAGGCGGAGAATAGACCCGTCACATACCTCCAGGAATGCAGACCCCGACGCGCCTGGAAGATTCTCGCTACATATACCCACGTTAACAATCAATAAAAGAAACCGAACGGGCAAGTACCGACAGAGGTCCGGAGCACAAGATAACAACAATATTGAGCAACCAACCCAGGAGCCCCGTGCCGATCACTGTTCATCAACAAGTGAGTGATGACATGCATCGGATGACAGAACAGGCGGCTCAAAAGGTTCACCTGCGATGAAAATTGCCGCGGGCGCTGCATATGGACGTCAGAACGAGCATCGCGGGCATGATATCGAATTGAACAAACCTGCATAGGCCGCGCGCTTGACCTCCTCCCTAAGCAATAGACGTCAGTATCTCATTGCAATTGTGGTTGACAGATTAAAACCCTCCGGGACCGACTTATAGATTCATCTCCGAGGCGGAGGAACCCAATCGAATAGAAGAATCAACAACACTCACGAGATGTGTGCGGTAGCGTCATAATCCTACGAGCGGGAATGTCAAACACATCCGAAATTAGAGTAGAACACGTTGAGGTCACGTACCGTCATCTGCCAACGAATCCGCCAAGCGAGGTCAGCAATTACCCTGAGGCGTCAAATAAACTTCAGAAGATCTCGCGTCCAAGCGCGCCGCATGTGTTTAGGCCCAGGAACCGGCAAGTGAAGGTCATGGAGCCACAGAGGCGCGTCTAGGTGCGAGACCACCGTCAGCAGGCGTCCAAGTCGCGGAGGGGCTGTCCAAGCCCATTTTCCGGCATTTACGCGGCGGACGAGCGGAGATGAACCCAATCCAACACCCTTGCGCCTGCGCAACTCCGCGCATAGTTCCCGCGACGGCACGCGGACCGCGCAAATTATAGCCGCGGAGTATCAAGCTACCAATCAGTGTGGGATACGCACCGTCCATTGGACACTCAGTAGTCCAAAAAGGAACGCTAGTCCGTTGTTCCAACCACCTGTCTGGTTCACGAGGCCGTCGGAACCGAAGACATATCCAGCCGGATGCATCTCGGAGCGGGGGGTCATCGCGAGGAGGACAATTATGATCACTGGACGTACAGGCGTCGATGGCGAGCATATGTTAGCGAAGTGCGGAGGAAAGGGGACGCTCAGGACGCACGGGTTGTTGTGCCGAGATTGACGAAGACAAAACCCTTGGTGATGTGTGCGAGCTGACGAGTAGCGAGGCAGTTCTGATATGCATCACAAGGTCCATCTAGGGTCAGTGTGCGGCACCAATAATACAATTTCAGCAGTTCAAAACACACCAGAATCCCATTGAACACGAGCAGACCGGCGAACAGGCCGACAGTCATGCCTTGTGTGACGACGTAATTTCCGTTCTTCAAGATTGAAATTACGCATAAGGCAGCGCCCTAGTGATGTGAAGACAGACACTTGAGCATACCTTAGCGACGACAACAGCGGCCCAGATCATGTTCGCAAGCCCGAACTCCGTCGACGCTAGTCCTGCAACCTGGCCTGACAAACAAGTCATTCAGCGTCAAGCCCGTGAGGCGCGGATCGAGCAAAAAATATCATGCCGTTATTAATAACAGCTGCTTTACGACATCATGGGCTCCGATTCAGACATCACGAGCAAGAAACACCTCCGGATGTGCAGGTTGGCAAAGACACGTCTGGGCCCTCCAATACGAAATGTAGGCGAAAGGGAACTCGCAAGAAATAACATCCAGACAAATTGCGAACATAGTGATCTGATCCCAAGACGTTTGTTGTTCCTGGTCGCTAATGACTTTGTGAGGCATCTACGCGCTTTGGCACCTGAACTCGTGGGTAAAAGGTTTGCTCATGATCATAGAAGCATGCTAGACTTCAATAATCGGGTAGTCCATCTGATCGAAGTCCAAAAAGTATAGATGTTTGTCTTGAGATTCCATGAGAGATGTTCGAGGACGGTACCAGCCATGAATTGTTCACAAGAAATCGGTTCCAGATAGTGAACGTACCCAGCAAATTGAGCCACCCGACAATCCACCCGACAATCGCACGATGCCGCGGAGGACATAGTTGAGCGGATGCAGTGTACCTGTCATTGGAGCAGACATGAGCGAACGTCTCGGACGATAGATCGCACAAAATGCGGAGAATGTCACACTTACAAGCCGCCGCATGTAGGGAATGCGCTAACTATCTCTGCAATGCTCGATCCTGGACAGGTACGTGAGCATAAGGTCGACAAGCAAGACGCTCATGGAGCGGATGCTCCATAGACTTTCAGATGGAAGATGACGTACCGAGCGTGAAGCACATACACGCCCCGAGGATCCAGCACCAAGTTACGGACGCGGGGCCGCCAGTAAGCAGAGGCGTATTGAAAGTCGTTGCAACACTTGAACAAAGACCCATGATACTGAAAGCGAAGCTAATCTGCACCCCCCAGTTGCCAAACTTCGATCAACGTCGCACTTAGAGATAAGGAGTTGGTTGTTCACCGTCGCCAGGTTGGAGAACTCGCGTTTGAACGAGGGTACGTAGCCCATCTCCTCGAGCAGTCTGTCATCATCATTCATGCTCCCTGAGCGAGAGGTAACCACCGATCGAGCGTCGACGTCGGCGCGAGGCGAGCGAGAGGGAGTCTTGTCATCATGCGACATAGTGGCGAGGTCCTTTGGCTCAAACATGACGACGAGGAGACAGAGCGGGAGCAAGAAAGCAAGTCTGCGATAAAGACAGGGTCTATCTGTGGAAATGAAGACCAATTAGTCTGTGGCTCGCTATCAGCAGCGCCTCTGGCTGGCTAAGCTTGACAGCGAAGACTAGCACGCGCTGATGCCAGTGTGGAGAAGGCGCAAGTGTTATCACCAGTGTGCGTTGTTTTTGAAATTTTGATTATTTTCCGACGAGACAATCGCGATAACCGCGCTCAGCGCATCGTCGACCCGCGAACAACGCGAAAATAGCCCAGAATGTCCGGCAAAGGTCGCCGCGGCTGCTCCGACGCGATCTTGTCCAATCAGACGCGTCGCGGGCGCACGTGCCTCTAAATCGGCACGTGGATCGCATATGTGGGCACGCGACCACATTTTGCCGCCAGGGCCCAGATCTAAGGTCTGTCGCTGGCACCGATAAGGAGCTGCCCACTAACTGCTTTCATTGATACGTCTTGCCACCTCCTCATGAAAGTGTCAGCAGTAATTTTCACTGGGATGCCTGATATTACCTGATCCTGCCTGGAAGAAATGTCCTGATGTGACGCGCGGCAACCCCTGCTCCGACCGGGGTGCAACCTCATAGAGGCAGATTGAATTTATCTCTGAGCGTGCTCCCAGGTCAGCCTCTTCGTAGTCACTCTTCTCGCACGCACTATTTTTCTGTTACTAAGTACGTCTGCATCCGTCTTTCTTCGTCTTGGGTTGATCCGGGCTTGGCATGACAATGCGCAGCTGTACAAAGAGCTTGGGCGCAGGTGCGGTGGCTCTTTTTCTCTTGGGGTTGATCAGATGATGGCATTGATTGTATGCCCCCATCACAGCACCTCTTTGGAAGATTGCACATCGGCTTGCTCTTGTCCTCCGTTCTCACTTCCAAGACTGATGGCCGTTCGAACGGCAGTGTCGTCCATTGAACGGTTGGCTTCAATTCGTCCTCTGCGCAATTCTCAAAGCGGCAATCTATCACACCGGCACCAGTCGTGCTTCTGGTGAGGTACCGCCTTGTCCCATCCTCCGCATGGGTGTCGTTCTCTTGGTCATCGCTCGAGTATTTATTGTTCGCTACCTCCCATAATGTGTCGGCATGGACTCCGGATCTCTGTTGTGGAGGTATGCTCGCTAGTGACATGTATCTTCGAAGATTCCCGACATTGACTACTTCCGCTGTATTAATGGCTCAGGATTCAAGCTGGCCTATCAGACGCCTAGGTACTGGGATGGTTACGGTGCAATCGTATCCCAAGCTTTCTTCTGCCTGCTTGCTACTGATGGGACGACCGCGAAAGATGATTATGATTGCAGCATGTGACGCCTCCAATTTGTATGATGTGCCGTGCCGCAGGCACTATGGTTAGCTCATAATGGAGTTGCTTCGGAACGTTACTAGTCAATTTGTTCAGGTAGTTGCAAGCGTGAATACACACTTACGACTGGAATTCGGACCTCCCGGTCATCGACAGTGATCTCTGCGCATCTATTCTTGAGTTGAAAGCCTTGGTCCTGGTTGTGCGCGAAATTTGCAGGACGTGGCTTTCCTTACTTTAGTAAATCGTTGAAGAAGATTCTCCGAATCCTTGGTCCACCCGTTATTCTCACAGCTTGTTCTACGATTGACGTCCCTGACCTTGTCTCCTGAATGAAGGATGATGTCAAAAGTCCATTACCTTATTTCATAGTTTGGGTGGAGATTCTTTGCCAGCCTCCAGCTCTTCCGGTCATCTTTCTGCACCTCATTATGTGACTGGGGTCTCGGAGGAAGACCAAAGCAGGTGGTCGTCGCGACTCGTGCATATAGTCACCTTGAACCCTGACAGGTAAACAAGTCGCCCGGTTGTCGGCCAATGTAGTAATATCGCGTACTGGAGCTCGTTCACGTTCGATAAGGTTGTTGTGGCGCTGTGTGTGCACGGACTACAGTCTGAAAGAACGGGGGATGGCGGTAGCTTCGGTGACAGATATCTGGCGGTTTGTCTATATGATGTGGATCCGTTTTGAGTTCATCAAGCGTGATTGTATACATCTCAGGGTGCATTGAGGTTCGTTGTGCATAGCAGAGAGGAGAAATCTTGACTTTGGATTCAGCTTCATCCCAAGGGAAGCCAATGCTTTGAGATAGGAGGGCAAGCTAATGCGACTTCTCGACTTGAGTGTCCTCGCCAACATGACCTGGTGGTACGAGTCTTGGGCTAACATGTCCGCCTCCTTATTCAAGTATCAAGAGCAGCTGAACGCCTGTCACAATCTGGAGATCCTTTTCGTGTTACGAATTTGGTGGTCATCGTCTTATGCGCTCGAAGGTCATACGATGGGTTCGGTCACGGGTGGGGGTAGGCGATTATTTCAAAATTACGACACTGGAAAGGAAGTGAATAGATACTACTACCGAAGTGGTGAAGGGAATCGAGATACTAGGTAAGACGGAGCAGGAAACTGGCGAGAGCGTATGGTGAAGATAAATCATACTGAGAAAAACTTGAGGAAACAAACAAAACTTATAGCTATCTTTTTGGTTGGAATTTACACTTGGGTCTGTGACATCAAGCGGGGAGTTGCAAGCACCTGCACGATGATACCTCAGGACTCGAGAGGCTCGAGATTGCGTCTCGTTCGGTGCAACTTCTCGACTTACTTCGGAGTCAGAACGTCTGTTTGCTCTAAGAAAATCATCTGCGTGATAAATGACTATAACGAGAGACGTGACTACAACAGCTCGTCTACCAGGGGGGAGTGAGCCTCGAGACGGGATGTTGACGCACTGCGGGATAATGCTAGCCTTATAGAAAATTTGAGACAAGTGTCCCCAACTCATTAGGATCGCCAGGCACCGAGTATCGTTCTTGGAGAAGAGGGGATGTATGTGCCCAAATAGATTCGAGGAAGACAGCCATAGAGTCCGAAAGAGTCAGAACCTCTGCAGATTTTTAGCCGGCATATGCATGAGTGAGCTCGCGTAGAGGTGCTGGTTCGGAGTGGTAGTTATGTTCGAACATCACGTTGCAGTCCGTGAACGCAGCGTGCAATGACATGCGAGAGTGCAGAATGCACTTAGTTTCTCCGACTGAGCGAGTTCCGGGATGAAACTGCTGCCACAATGCCAAGTAGTGTAGGCGAGCGACCCGTCGGCAATTACCGTTCGTCACTTGCTCCTCACTGATCTGAGTCCTTGTTTCTCATTCAGACCATTGCTTGAATTCGACTGTATGAATCGGTTTGCATGGGTTTACAAATTAATATATTTTTTTTCACTGTGAGCAGGATTCAAGGACACGAACCCAGTGGTAAAGCTGACCTCAGATAGAGCTCGTGAAACGCGTCATCACAATGACTTACCCTCGTCATGATATATCCGAGCTCTTGGGGAGAGAGACGTTGTAACGGATCATTTACGTGCATTCCCGATGCAAGATGCAAGCATCGCAAGGTCAGAGATTGGGACCCAGTATATAAAGCGCTGACCCATTGCGTCAGATCACGCTACTTTCGCCCAAACTTCATTTGACTCTTGAATGACCTGGACCCGGACCGTTCTGCTGCAAACGCTCTATCGATAGCTTTGAGCTCGTGCTCGAGAAGACAGGGGATCAATGCGCAAGTGGGATTTCTCTCGCATAGCATCCGCTTCCCTGTCATTGTAGCCCCACGATGTGATTGAAGACGCTCGTTTTGAGGTTCTGATATCGGAACAGTTGACGTCTCCACACGAGGCTCTTTCTATATCATGGCTCTGTCCCGGCTGTGTGCTTTTTACATTTCTTGCAGCCATGTCTGCCAATATGCGCTCGCCCAGGCTCTCATCCAATGCTAGAAACTTGTCTGACGCGAAGCCGTCCATCGAGTCCTCAGAAGTAATTGCCGAAACTCGATCTATATCTGACTCTCGCATTGGAGAGACAGACGATGATGTGCAGCTGTTCGAAGAGTTTGGTTACGTTCCGTCGTTCAAGCGCGAGTTTTCGAATCTTGCCACGGTGCGTACTGATATATTTGCGCGATACATGCATGGCGCCAACGAATGTTCAGATCAGCTTTGCTTTTAGCATCATGGGCCTATGCTCTAGCGTTGCGACAACATTCAACACACCTCTCCTTATGGGTGGACCGGCCTCTGTAACCTGGTGTTGGATTCTGGGCTCGTGCATGTGTTTCACGCTCGGTATGTAGCTCAGATAGCCATCAGTCGTACTTGTGTCACCATTGTTGGACCGCGCCCTTTTGTAATTGGATAGGATCAAGTATCGCAGAGATTGTAAGCGCATTTCCTACCTGCGGAGGTTTGTAAGTCTTACTTCGTTGATGTATGCGTGATCACGAATCTCATGGTCCACGCAGGTACACCGCATCTGCGCAACTGTGTCCCCCGCGCCACCGGGCGATTGTTGGCTGGATCATTGGGTGGCTCAATCTTCTTGGTACGTGCTGTAGTTCCATAGAGATGCCTACTTAGTGCCAATGAATTTATGCCTCTACTGCAGGTCACATAGCCGGACTTGCATCGTCGGAATTCGGGCTAGCAGAAATGATCTGGGCAGCAGTTGTTATATCAAGGGTACTCAGACCATGTTCATCCATATTTATATGTTGTCGCTCACTAGAATACTTTGAACAGGATGGGAATTACATCGTGACTCAGAATATGACAGTCGGACTATTCATTGGTCTAATTGTATTCACAGGACTTTTGGTAGGTTCACTCACTGTGGTTCGTCTTATACTACTCTGACGTGTACATTAGAACTGTCTAGCAACGCGTCAACTGTCTCAGCTCACGAAGGGGTTTGTTTTCATAAATATTGGAACAACCATCTGTGGGTCCGCTCTGTATACGTGTATTTTATCATGTCTCGCTGAAAATGTGTAGTGATTATCGTCGTACTTCTTGCCATGACTCCTAGATCGGATATGCACCCTGCGAGCTATGTGTTTGGCTCCGCCGGCCTTGTAAATCAATCAAAGGGATGGGGTAGTGGACTTGCCTTCGTGTTCGGTTTGCTTAGTGTGCAATGGACGGTATGTCATCCTTTGTTGTGTAATTATTGGTTCATGTTGTGATTTTGATTTTTGAATCGGTGTGCTCACGTAATTGGCTCACTCTCGTAGATGACGGTCAGTGCCAATTATCGGACTTCATCATATGTCGGGTTTTACAATGGTTTCTCGTAGGGCTATGATGCAACAGCGCATATTTCGTAAGTGAAAGGTGTGGACATGTCTTTTCGCTGTTAATGTGCAATTGTTAGAGAGGAAGTAAGACGAGCTGCATACGCAGGTACGTATACCGAGCCTCTGCTTGGAATATGCGACTAGAATGTGGAATATCTAGCACCAACGGCTATCTTCATGGCTGGTAGGCTGTGGGTATAAAATGTGCAAAATAAAATTCTCATGTCAGGCTGGCAGTGGTTGGCACTGGTCTTCTTGGCTGGGTTTTCAACATTGTCGTGGTCCTGTGTTCTGGTCCCCTGTAGGTGGTCTCAATCTTCTGTGCACTCAGTCTGAGCACATAAACAGTGAGAACCTGCCGGGCCCATCAGGGTCTGCCTTTCTTCAAGTATGTCTTCGTCTCTCAGACATTGATTTCAAATTGGTCATGCTTGCATTTACACTTCAGATAATGGTGATGCGTATCGGGAAACCCGGCGCACTCGTTCTCTGGGTATCATATCATCTTTCAATTCATGATGATGACCTAATCTGAATTAATGGTAGGCACTCGTATGTCTGACCGCGTTTTTTGTCTGCCAGACTGCGCTCCAGGCGTCATCGAGGATGGTGTACGCATTTAGTCGTGATCACGGTAAGCTCATAACCGGGTACTATAAAGCCTACCTCACTTCATGTCTACTAGGACTTCCGGACCGAGGCTACTTCGGTCATGTCACGTCGTGGACGACTACACCTCTGCGTGCCGTCTGGTTCACAACGCTTTTGAGTGTTCTACCGGGCCTGCTCGATCTCGCTAGCCCCGTCTCGGCCAACGCTGTTTTCGCCCTTTGTGCGATGTCATTAGACTCCTCGTATACCATTCCGATCATATTGTGCGCGACCATGTATCTGTCAGGGATGTTCAAGCTGCGCTGACCCCATGTGCTTCAGGAGGCGACTCTATCGTAATCATCCAGAGGTGAAATTCAAGCCAGGACCGTTTTACATGGGTGATGGTCTGCTTGGATGGGCGGCGAACATTGCATGTGTTTTCTGGGCCTTGTTCGTCTCCGTGATCTTCTGTATCCCAACGGAACGTCCCGTCACGAAGTCCAATATGAACTATGCTTCGGTGCGTGTCTCTTTGGCACTGTTGACAGTACATGTATGGAAATATCAGCGAACAGCTCATGTGCGGAGGTGTCGTTATCTTATCTGGGTGAGTCTAATACAAGCCCCATATTACAAGCACTAATTCAACATTTTCAGTATTTGGTTCATCTGCGGGTGCGTATTATGCCGTTTTTATAAAATACAAATCGAGCTCAATAATGCTAAAAGCGGACGTCATCATTACAAGGGCCCAAGCCCAAATATTGCCACGTTTCAAGACGCTTTGACGGAACCAAATGCGGGCTCCCACGGCACCGAAACAAAGACCACCAAGGAAGCTTAGTACCTTCTGTCGCAGAGCGAGACTCTGCGTGTACAATGTTTTCAAAATCCCTTATAATATCACACAATTAGCGGAGGAGAATCCTACAAACTTCATGTGGTTTCTGTCTTTGTCTGAGTTATACGCGGTGAGTGTGCGCTGCAATATCAGTGGTTACAATCATATACAATCGTCGGGGCCACAACATAGAAGATGGGAGACGTCTCTTTGGATCGATGAGCCTCCACAGACGTGGAGGTGGCTGGCATTGTTCCCAATTACAGTACCGTTGTGTGGCTGCGGTAGTTACATTAAAGCGTGAGGGTTAAGCCCCACATTTTTCAACTCTTTCTCGTCAACCATCATCATTGCAGCTATGCAGCAGTATTGGGCTATGTATGTCTAAGATCATTTAAATCTCGTATTCACAAATTCATTCTCTCCGTCTGGTTTGTTTTCAGCTTCAATTTAGATCAGGAAGAAGAACACAGTTGTATGAGAGGGTGTCTGGATGCACCATTGTTCTGTGGACACAAGTCCACGTTGGTTCAATTGTTGTCAATTCCATTCCTACCCCCGCCTCCTGTAAGTTCCTTCCCCTCACTCAACGAACCCGTAACTGAGTCTCAAATACGCAGCTACGTGCACGGCATATCTTGCGCCACGGAACAGGAAACACGTTGCTTGGGAGGCTCAACTTACCTCCTGAACTATTGTTTCTGATCTGCGACAACTTCGATCGCCTGTTGGATGCCATTTCGTTTGGTCTCGCAAACACCATCCTCTTCAGTATCGCTCAGAAAAAAATTCACAAGCTGCAGTGTGCTAAATACGCTTGCTGGGTCAACAGTCGCATCATTTGTCTTGGCGACCACACGGACGACAACGATCTACCTGAGGGTATGATGACGAAAGCTGAATTAGAGGCCATTCACAAACGTGCTGAGCTCAGTGACGACTTTGATCCCGACGATATCTGTAACCTTTATGACGCTGCATGTGTCACATTTCGCGAGCGATCAAGCCCTCAAACCTTTTTTTGGATATATCACTGCGAATTCTCCTCCGACCTATCAAGAAGTGAACATAAGGAGTTTCAGAGGCTTTACGAGCCTGTCTATGAAATCGAAGGAGATAAAACTGGTCCCTGGGCGCTCTGCAACCTGTCCAAACGAGAATTCGTGCGTGCGGATGCTACGGCCAAGGTGACAGGAGCAAAGTCTATGGGTCCGTTCATTGCAAGTAAGATCAATCTTGGGACGGTGCTGATTTCACAAATCTGCTGGTCGTCGGATGACTCTACCGCGTCAAGCTACGAAAGACCAATTCACCGCGGGGCCTGGGCGGGTGACCGCTTCGTGATCACAACTTTGGATCGCCTCGAAGCGTCATCGGAGTATAAGGATGTCAGCAATACAGTTCTCGCTGTGCTTACAGGGTTTCAAAAATACGTTGGTCAATAAGAAAGGAAGAGGAAGAGGAGGGTCAGGGAATGACTCCGCGTCAAGTGTCGAGGATGGTGAATTGGGACAACTTGCACCTCGGATATGGGCGAAAAATACAATGTACTTAAAATCTAGGATTATACTAGGATGCATTATATATTATATGTGACAATCGCAGGTATAGAGACGTGCGCACATACATTACAGTGGGCTCTGAGGCAGTGGACGAGTTGGTGACAAGAGGCGATCAATACGCGCAGAAAGATGTGAGGTGTGGCTTACGCAGCCTTGAGGCTCGAGGTTCTACCAACATGAAAATTTTGATACCTCCCACCAGATCGGCCACAGCAAAGGAAAATGATCCATTTCACTGGCACCCCATTTGACACCTCATAGTGATACGCGACATATATAAGCTCATGAATGTGGTAACTGGTGCAGGAAACTCAGATGAAAATTTGGAATTTGAAACTTCTGAACGAACGGAGCGTCTGCGCCGAGGACCTCACTCTGGATACTAGCCGATTCAAGTTGCAGTAGTGGTCGCCAGAATAGACTCTTGATGTATGCAGCGGTCTAAGGTGATTGAGCTGGTTACGGAGCATCATGATGCAGTGATACAGATCCAAGCAGAGCGCGCACAAGCGAGCCTTTTGACTCTATCACTTGCCCACAACGATCGGCCGTACTATCTGAGTTTTTGAGTCAGCAACCAAAATGTCAAATAAATGCTTCGCAACATTTTCTGCTGTCTACACGCCGGTAGAGTATAACGGAAGTTTATAATAATGAGAAACTCAGTCCGAGATATGGTAATCGGGGACTGAGGGAAGTCGACGCGCTAGCGTCTCTAACGATACGCAGCGGAGTTGCCGTATAAGGAAAATAATAGAGTGTAAGTAAGTAACGTATAGAAAGGAAAATTGTATAGTATTAATCGTCTTCAATGAATGTATCTACAACAGAGTAGTGCTACGCTCGCCGGAATTTGTTACGGGTCATCAAATTCGAAACACTGCCTATTTTACACAGTAGTGCTTTGATTGTCCACATCGTCATCATACTAGTCATGAGCGCGGTCAACGAACTTCAAATGATCCGGGTCGTCAATTGAGGGCGTGCAAGGGATTGAACCGAACCAAGTCAGCGTGTCAGGACTAGAAGATATGCCGAATAGATTTTCCGATGCAGCGTGTTCGCGAAGGTTGATCATAAACCTAGATACCAGCACCCCGGAAAGGCTGAATATATACGTCAGCGAAGACTTTTCGTACGACAAAGATGGTAGAAGCATGGGACTGACGGCACAGTTAAAAAGGAAGCGGAATCAAAATCTGCCTGTACGCCATATGAACAGTAAGTTTTGCTTCGCCACAAAACAGCATCAGTACGACTCACTCTTCCTATGACGTCAAGCACTGACTGCAATACGTTCAAAACTACCATTGACCTTCATATAATGATATATTCAGTCAGATTCAAATCATTCGAATAGATCATAGGGCGCACATGAAGTAAATTCTACCTGTGAGTGTGTATGACATTAACTTGCTTCAAAATCTCAAAAGTCGACCTCTCGATGCACGTACCGTCTCCCAAGAGTATCGATATTAGCGGCACTCTATGACCCACTCGAATGGTCTCTCTTGTTCGGCGCGCGTGGCGCCATCTAACCGCGAGAGCAAGCGCATCGGACAATGTCATGGAAAAGCGTGTCACTAAAAGTACTGAGGGATCATCAGCTTGAGCCCTAAAGAAAAACGCAGAAAAACATACGTCTGCGATACATCAGTGTCAAACGTCCAAAAGAGTGGCGAATGTTCCTCACGCTAAATCACCCCAAATAGAGTATGGAACTTTGGTTTGGCAAGTGGATAGGACACCAATATGTGGCGTTCCGGTGTAGGATATGTCAATAGAACTGTACTGAAAGAAGGTCTGTCAAGATATCAACATATGACTCAATTGTAACTCACGATGTTGGTGACAACTGGAGCAAATCCTGAGACGAAGACCACTGTCGATAATGTCTTCTTACGTCCGCTGATAGCATACGTTCGAAGGGACATGACAACTAATGGCAGTCAGTGGAAGGTCCCTATGTAGCGATGGCTGATACCTACTGGTAGTGGAAGTATATAGCATGATTGTCACGATCAAAGTGAAGATAGACATTACATGACAGCTAATATCTTCGTTCAAAAATGTATTTTGATGCATAAGTTTCTATCGCAAGTACCTCTGAGAGAGAGAATGGGTTTTACTCTTACACCTAAGAAACACGGTACTTGCTATTACTGCTACGTCAATCAAGATATCCAGTACAAGAATGACAGCGTAAACGAGGGCAGCGTAACGGCTGAGAATGAAGAGCAATGTTGACTTGGTGAATGGATTACACCAGATCACCGAGACTTCACGAGATGAAGTGAGCAAATACTCGTAAATTACTACAGCTTGACGTAGAATGATCAGCAGAAAATACGGGCGAAAACAGGTTTAACGTACCACTAGTAGCCAGCTGTAAGTAGCTGAATAAATATCTAGACAGTAGTTTATGAGAACAGTGGACTAGCAGATCCAGAAACGAACACACTGTGATGTCACTATACTTTGGGTCATCTTTTCTTCAAACACATATCCCATACTTTCCACCTTGTCGTATGACGTAAACCAGATCAGTGACAAGCCAAATGATTGTAATGCGATGCCTGTTCGGCGTTTTATATGACTTAGTGCACTGGCGCTCTTAGGATCTGGGGCTCATGACGTGTACAGCCACGGGACCTCATTTCAACCTCCACGATGGCGATCAAGAGAAGGCCAACTTTGACTGGATCAGATAGCATCCTCGCAGTATAAATCGAACCTACGGAAATCGAGGTATTTGGCAAGCGTACCTTTCACACGCTAACACAGTACTTGGAACCCAGTTGGTCTTCGCTATGCGCGCTGTGTCGCACCTCTCATGCTGCGCCGAATGACACGCAGCTGGGAAGGTTGTACACATCTTCGAGTAGGTATGCCACAGCACTGCCTCTTCGTCAGATTGGGTGTGAACCAATCAGCGAAGGGTATCTGAGGGATTGGTCAGGATGATGAGAAGTCTAGAGTAGCTGCAATCTCAGTGACCTTGTATCATAGGCCCCGATCATGATATTCGCCAGCGCCTGATAATGCGTAAACAGCTTGCATAATGTGGTGAACCTTCGCTGGAAAAGATGAAATCTGCCAGAAGATGATTAAGATGATTAAGATGATTAATTGCATAAAATATGGTTAGTCGCATAGAAGGGCTCTTCCAAAAATCATTGAACTATACCACGACTCTGTGTCATATATCAGTGTTAGAGGGATCAGATAAAAGCGTAAGGGGCACCGTACATAATGACGCAGATAGCTGTGCGACAGCTCCATCAACTCGTTGTGCCGGTAGTAGTATATTAGTCATTTTGAACTAACCCATGCCTACGATCGGAAAGGGAAATTCAGCAATGCTTCCGGAATGAGCATGAGGCAAATACAAAGAGAACACTCAATAGATGTACTGACGTTCCTCTTCACTGTGGTCATCGTACGTGAAATTCCCCCATTATTTAGTGCCAATGGTAGGCACCACAGGAGGCAGCTCAGTAGTATCTTACATTGTAAGATCCATTTAGTAGAATCCGTGCAGACGAACTCATCCAAAGTAACCTCTTTTCTCACACCCTGTAAGGCGGCCGGCGGGATCCCGTAAAGAGACGGAACTATGTTTTGGGGCTTCAATTGTAGACCGGAACTTGAGCCGCCGTTCAATCTAGAGTCACGTTGAATGTACATCATACAGTCCGGGGGGGGCGACCTCTTGGCCAGGCCAGCAAGACGCTTCGTCAGGGATACACCATACAACGCTCCTATTCCAGTACAAGAGTAGGCGCCTTTCGCTTGGACTGAACATCCCAAGAGCAACAGAAATTCGAAGCTTCAAGCTTCAGGCTTGGAGGAGTGATAGTCGTGATCGGTTGCCACCGACAGCCACCCACGCGTCCAGCCAACTTCGACGTCGCGCGAACACCTTACATCTTAAATTTCGTTCACTGGATTGCAGTGTGCCGCCCTGCAGACCTGGTTTTACCATATTGGAATATTTCATCATGGACGTTCATCGCATCTCTACGATCACAGGACTCCGGGTTGCTGGCAGGGCCATAGTATTCTACAAGACACAAGACAGTTACAGCGTGTGGGCTTTCCTGACATACATACATTTTTCTACATTGCTTAGACACACAGACTTCGTTGTACAGACTTTCCCCAACAGATATTTACTGCGTCAAGAACCCTCCAATCACCTCCGCAAATTTTTCCCTCTCTTCAAACATCGCCATGTGTGCACTTTTCGAGAATGTGTACCACTTTATGGTGGGAATTTCTCTGAATGCAGGCGCCATCACCGAGTCCTGAGCCTCATCGTACCCTCCGTTCGTAAGCAGCGTAGGAACTTTGATCTTGTGCAGATGTGGAGTCACATCCCATGTCTTCAATGACCCAGTGATGGTGAACTCCGACGGACCTTGCCTGCAAGTGACGAATTAAGCAACTCAAAGTCAGGTCAGGTTTTAACGGACACGTACATCGTGAGGTAGGCAGCCGGCTCTTCCGCCAACTCCTTGAACGTCAGTATGATCTCTTCCGGCCACGGTTGCGTCCGGTAGACGAAGTGGTTGTTGAAAACTTCGTTCGCCTGGGCATACTCGGGGGAATCAAATGTCCCCGCAGCCTCGTGCTTATTGATCATATCCTGGATATGCATTCAGTGCCTGTGAAGACGCAGTTCCACTCGCGCTTTATCTTGGCTGACCTGGATATCCTGCGGCATTGTCGTCAATAATTTCCTCGTCGCCTTTTCCCAAAGTACCATCGACACAGGTCCAGACGACAGGATCAGTCGCCTCAGCCCCTCGGGCTGGCGTATACCGATCTCCATGCCCAGCATTGAGCCCCACGAATGGCCAAAGACGTCGTACTTGTCGATGCCGAGGTGCTTCCTCAAGTTGTGGAACTCGTCCAAGAAGAGCTGGACCGTCCAGAAATCGGCATCGCCATTCTTCTCCGGAAGACGTGTCGAGCCCCCACAGCCGATCTGGTCGTAGAAAACGACGGGGATGCCGTGTAAGGATGTGAGATCGGAGACCGGAAGGATGTAAGTATGCGTAGCGCCTGGCCCGCCGTGTAGTGCGATCACGGGCGTAACCCCCGAGCTTAGATCACCGAAGATCCTGTAGTACGTTTGGCAGGGCTTCCCCGCCGCGGGGACAGAGTAGGGGATGTGTCCGTCGCTCGTATGAGTGAACATGGCTTCGAGAGAGATACGATGCTTCGCACAGATCTCACCACACCATGTGCATATACTACTTATACTCGCCGTGGAAAGATAACAGTGATCATCAGCCCGTGAAACCGATTTCATTCGAACACGTTTTATCTCTGGACCTTTGCGATAGGCTACAGTGCCTACTACTAACGAGGTACCTGTGTATAAAGTTCATCACGTACACGCCAGGTCTGAAGCCGCTGTGTACGTCTTTTCGTCTGAGCTCATCCAATGAACATGACGGGCCAATTAGGGTTGCCTCGGCCGGCTTACTAAATACCGCTCTCTAGAAAAATCCTATATCAGGTTCAAGATCACCCATCAGTAACATAGAAACAGCTTTGGCAGCTCTACATACCAAACATTTCTGGCAGCAATTCGAAGTGCGAGCTGCTACCCTCTCCACATCTTGCTGGAATTCAGCAAATAGTATAGCTTCGTGGGGCCTGAGCCAACAGACTCTCCTGTTGTTGACAGTTGTCGACGACATTTTATCGAGATAGAACTCCACCTCGACGTAACACTCGCATTGCATGAGATATATTACAATTTAGGATTGCTGCCCAGGAGGCTGGTCAACGATGTGGTAGGATGTCACTAGCACTTGCAACTGATGCTTAGTCAAGCACATTTGAGAGTATTTGGACATTCGAGCACGAGATGAGAAGGTTCGACATATTTCCTCATTTTTGCCACAGGATGAAAATAAAAGAGGGGGGAAAGGAAATCGCGTTGATCAGTAGGCAGTCACGCGGAACGAAGAGTCCTTTACGGAGGCCTATATAGCTCGTGAGTCGTAGCGCTGCAGAGGACCCATTGAGAGAAGATAGAATGCTACAGCTGGAGTAAGCGCAGCCAAGTGGATGGTTAGTAGCGAGAGCGCAAAGAAACAGACGTTTTCTGTTTTGAGGAGCAATGGAGCTTATGGGCCGTACTCTAGCCGGTCAAGCTTCAAGCGCCAGCCATTGCACGAGGAAATTATGTATGAAAACGTCCGCATTATGAACTTGAACAAATTCAACAAATAGCCTAAGACAGTGTACCATTTCGAGTGCACTTGAAGCACTACGCCCGGGCCTGTCTCGCCAACTCGGATCAAACTCCTCTCGGAACCTTTTCGTAAAGAAATGTCTGTTTGTAGCCTGTACTACGGAACGCAGGTGATAGCTCTCTGTAGTCCACGTGGCGGAGCACTCATGGAGTGCATGCGGTTCGAGAGAAGCTGTTCGCGAGGTCGCAGCGACCTGTTTGGCTACCACTTGTTTGGCTCTGGCACGCGTCATGGATTTCGACTTTAGGAATCCGAAAATTCGAGCCGGGCAGCTGAGATACACATGCTATCCGACATGCTAGCCCCAACTTCGTGCTGATTCTGTTGATTCTCTCGATGTTGACTTTGCTTCAAAAAATCGCTGTTTACTTGCAGTGACCAAGCTATGCCGCAATATTCGGAATACTGCCAGTAGCACGCTCAAGGAGTCGATCATGCACTTATCGATGTTCTCTGGCCAGCCACCTATGTTCGCCGTTCGAACTAGAGCGGAGCTTGCTTACAAGGAGCAGCAAATAGCTACTCGTGTAGGTAGACTTGTCGTCGACCTACGATTGCATCCTGATCAGGCGCCACGTTGTTGAGCTCGAGGTGTCAAAATAGACAATAGATCGTTATTGACATGAAGACATCGCTATGTATAAGGTAAGCGCTTCACATGTGGATGAGAGCATAAGAAAGTACTAACATATCGTCGATGTCCCCACGTTTCTAACGTGCGGCGGAGCAGCACACGAAATTTGCCACCAGCCAGAAGGATGCCGTAGTGTCTAGACGGTATCATCAACGGGAGCAATACTAGGTATTTAAGTGATGCATCTCAACAAAGGTACTTATCAAGAAGGGAGTCGTGCCTCTACAATGCGCTTGACATGCGGCGAGTGACGCGGTAACCTCGATGTTGAGCACCGATACACCAGGCATAACTGGTGAGTGCTCCTCGAGCATACAGCTACGATCCCTTATGGGAATTAATTTTGTAAACATGCCATGCAATTTCTCAGCTGCAGCAGGGCGGAACCGAATACTTGATGATGAACAATCTCGTATCCGCCACAGGTTTTAGAGCAGGCCATGCCAAAGCAAGAATATGTTACATTGGGACTATCCGCACCCTTAGCTTGTCTTTGCCTGCCCATCCTTTTTGACAAGACAAGGCGTTCTGCGACGTAGTCCAGACTCATGAACTTGGCCTGCATGCTCTCTGGAGACCGCTACAGATTAAGATAGCAAGTCGCTGGCCTGCGTTACTGGGCGGACCTTGTGCTTCATGTTAATGAATCAACTCGTATCTTCGCGCTCCGCACGGCTTACGACAGCCCTCGCATGACAGCTTCCGATTGCCATGCCATAGTCATGCCTGCTCCCAACAGCCAGGCGTTGTATCCTCCATGAGCCCTATGAGCCAGATATTTATAGCCCATTAGGAGAAATGATAGCTGTCCTCTTTCCGTACTCTACCACAAAGTCTCACCTTGCAGTCGAGTTCTTATGAACTTTTTCAGAAATCGAAAATCCGGTCCTGGTTCTCTTCATAGTCGCTTGTCTCCGAATCATAATGTAACGATTCCGAAGCAAGTGAACCCACTTCCCGCTCCTTCGGTATCGGCAATGTCGGTACTGGAGAAGCCTTCCGTCGAACAGCTGTCTGGAACTTTCACGATTACTAACTGCAGGCATGAGAACCGCGCAATCTTGCCAAACAACAATTATGAAGTTGGCCTCGTTTGTATTGTCCCGCCGACCGTAGGATCAATCGAGAAGGAAGAAATGGTACGCCCGATATGTTCTGCGCGCGGGGAATTTGCGACTTCTTACAGACTCGCTCCGTAGTGGACGCTAGCCCCCAGTTTGGGCGGTCGTTATACGATCAAGAATTGTCGATATAATTTCGTTTGCGCGGCTCCAGCACCCATCCGTGCCGATACTTCAGTAATGGGCATGGAAAAATCTCCTTTTCAGTGGTGGATTCTCGACAAGGTAGATACTGGATTGTACGGACCTAATGCCTATATGTCCGTTAGGGATTCCCTTGTCTACAATACCACATACTTACGTCTTATGGATAGCATAAGATGTTATCTGAAGAGGGATCTATGCTGGAGTCTGGAAGGAGAGGAGGACTGCTCACCGGTAAGCTATACCCCTCCTACACGAGTAATCAGGTCGTGTTCTCATTGTCTGAGTCAGATTGAGCTTGAGCAGTATAGCTCTCATGGAAGGATGATCTGGAAGGCAGGTCTTCACTATTAGTATTTCTCGAATTCAGACTCACAGCTCGATTCTGTCGCGCAATCCGCAGATTGAACCATGCGAACCTACTCCTCCAAGATCACTTCCACTAGGTTGGTTCTTGAACTTCTGTCAACAATTCTACATATCCCAAAGCAGCTACCAGATAATGTTAGTGCACGAACGGCCGAAGTTACGAGCCTACGAATTGAAGCAACGAATATACTTGGTTCCATTTTGGGACACGTCATGTCAGCATCAGATAGTAACAATAGTAACAAGGTTTCGCTTCTCAACCTGCTCGATAAGGTGATGATTCTTACTTTGTGGTATTCGCGTACTAAGACAATGTCTTCCAGATCTTGATCGAGACTACGGACCATGGCCTCCGTTTGAGGATTCTGCACACGTTGATACGACTGTGTGCAGAGACGGGATCAATTCCCAAGTTCTCCCACATACCGACTGCCGAATTGCATAGAGGGTTATCTAGACCTGTTATGACTAGCGGCACAGTGGAGGTACAACTAGGACACTATAACAATAAGGATGTTGCCTTGAAAATTCTCCGCGATGGGTACAATGACCACTCGAAAGTTCGAAAAGTGAGCCAATAGTCCGTTTTCTATTTGTATACGACCCCTCTTAACTACTCTAGGTTCTCGTGAGAGAAGCCGCGTGTTGGCGACACCTGTCTCATCCGAATATAGTACCGTTCCTAGGTATCGAAGAAACGTATCCGCAACTATGTCTTGTGTCTGCTTGGATGCACAACGGAAATATGAATGCGTATCTGAAAGCGTATCCACGCTCTAACCGGTATACATTGGTTAGTATGCCTCTGTTCATTGCGTTATCTCGACTCCTTCATCACCTTATCTACAGCTTCTAGAAGTTGTCCAAGGACTCAAGTATTTGCACTCTCTTCATATTGTGCACGGAGGCCTCAGTGGGGTTAGTCAGCATTCTAAACGTTGTCGGCTCAGCAAAAAGCTAACAACATGCAGTCTGGTATACTGATCGACAAAGATTGGCACGCGCGGCTATTTGGCTTTGGTCTTATGGACATTGTAGACGACTCAGATCAGGTATCCTCAGTGTCTTGCTCCTCCCTCCGAGAATCTTTGCGGTGGTTGGCGCCGGAACTGATATGGAAGCTTTCGGACGACATCTGGAGATCGCGAGACGAAGCGTCCGAAGCCGAATTTTTCGATCGCAAAGGAACTGCTCGCCCTTCCTACGCGAGTGATGTATATGCCTTTTCAATGGTCATGTACGAGGTGTGTCTAGGAATCTTGACAATGTCTCTACAGCTGACGGACACTTTCACAGGTGTTCTCCGGAAACATTCCATTCTACGACCAGAAAAGCGACGGCGGAGTTGTGCGCACCATAATGAGTGGGGGGTATCCTGCTTTCGAAGAAACATGGACATCGCGACTTCCTGACAGCATGCTCGATTTGATGAAAGAATGTTGGGCCACGAAACCTGCAGAACGTCCGAGTTTGCAAGGAGTCCTTGAGGATATTCAGCTGGCAGAACTCAATAAAGTGCAGGACGAGCCGGTCCTGGGACATGTTGCACATGTTAGATGACGAGGCTGGAGAAGACTGACTATCCAGATACGCAGTAGTGATAGCAGTGTATTATTGAATACATCCGCCGGAATGGCACCTTTCAGTATAAAAGCCAGTGGCGCTCGGCCACTAGTGTGAGAGGATCAGGAGCCGGGCGCTGGCCGCTTGATCTGAGCCTCTTGATCTCCTGGCCAATCGTACTGACTGCTAATCAAACGGCGGCTGGAAGCTTGAAAATAACTGACAGTGAGGCCTTGCCGGTTGGCATAAGACGGCTTGATGGCCGGAGGGATCTGTTTTATTGTGGCAGGAGGTAAGCATGTCAATCCCTGTTTGTACAAAGTCTTGATGCTAACATAACATCGAGCGTCAGCGCTCGCGGATAAAGTTATAGCGAATATATAAGTATTGAAGCTTCCCCCGGCGGTGACTACCCTGTCTGTGAGATTCTCGGTTCGACTTCAAGCTACTGATGAGCTATTAAGCGACCATCAAGTCCCTTTGACTCAATTCCCTACGGTATTGCGACTGGTGACTTGCGCAGAAAGAGACGAGTGGATATGGATTTCGTTGTCGGACAGTGAGTGTATTTTACAGTTCAGATGACCTTCTCACATCAAACTAAATGCCTGTTAGGGTTGCATACAATTTGTGTCAGATGGCGCTCAGCAGTACGTGCAGTGTCTGGTAGTCGCCTGTATCTGCTCTTATTGACACCTTATCGAGCTTCAATCATTTACGAGCAACTCATCACGCTTTCCCGAGAAATCTCTTTGATTTGGGATAGTCCATTCAACACTGCGACGCTGACGTTTTTTGTGAACCGCTATGCCAACACCTTGTATGCCGTCACGCTCGTATTGGATACCTTTATTGAGACAACAGCTCTAGTGAGTATTGAAGTACTCTACTGATTTTAATCTTACAGCTGGACAATAGAGGTCGGACTATCCCGTGCTATAGATATTGTATATAGCTCAATTGACCAAATGTCAGCTGTCAAGTGATGTCAATTTTGATCTTGATCCTCGAAATTGTCTTATACGTCACAACTGCAGGTGCGCGTTTATCAAATGAGTACCATCGCCGATCGTACTGAAATACCGTTAGCTTTCATGGCGTTACGTTCATATGCTATTGGTGGCCACAGAAAGGTTGTACCTGTGCTAGTCTTCATTCTTGGTATAACCCCGGTAGCGACCAATATTGTGAGTTTTGAAGATTTGATCTACGCCTGTTCATTTATCTGGATCATCGCTTCCCCAGTACTGCTCCGTCGGCTTATCCTACATGGGGTCAATCCGTTTGGGCAATGTGTCTGTGTGTCAAATCAAACTTCCTTATTCCATTTGGACAGATCTAGAGTATGCTACCCCTTCCTTGTCGTCTTGGCTCGTCCATTGACTATAGCCATACTTATTTTTAGAAGTGTGTATTTTTCCGTGCAAAATGACTGATTGTTTCATAATTTGCTAGTGCTTGTGATTACACGACTATCCTTGATCCTATCCGACGCTCTTGTTATAATGAACACTTGGTATTTTACATATCAGATAAGAAGTGAAGCTTTACGTGCCGGTCACAAAATCACTCTCGTTTCTCTGCTCATGTGGGATGGTATGTATTATAACCTGTGCTTGTGAAAATGCTCACGGAGGAGTCATATGTAGGAACACTATATTTCGCGTAAGTATCTCATTATTCATGTGAAATTTCATTTAATTCAGAATTTCAGGACAATGGTGGCCCTGAATATCATCCAAGCGGTAGTCGAGGTCGTTGATAGGGTAATGTTGTGTGCACTGAATGCCGAAATTGGCTCTGATAGCTTTTTTGGCAGGAAAACTACAGCTTCGCTTCTTTCACTGCACCGTGAGCATTGAGTCTTACATGCATCATAGAGGAACTATTGACCGTGATTTAGGCTTTCGTCGATATTGATCTCGAGGTTCATATTCCATTTACGGGAGCATGCAGACTCGAGAAGTCCTGATGTGCTTCACACTTCTATCAGATTTGCTTGGCTTAGTGTCATATCATCTGCATCACAATATGCTAGCCTTGATGTTGATGATGCAAGCAGTATTCAAGATAATTTGGATGTTGACCATGCAGATCATGCTTCACTAGACGACTAACTGTACTTAAAAACTTTGTACTCTAGATATGTTTTTAATGCACTTATTCATGTGTAAATTTCTGTTTACTGGGTTGTAAGTGGTATGTACCTCATTATAGTGAGGATTTGCTGCTCACCTTCCTTACCACCACTCACCAATGCTCTATTTGAGACAGATATACGGCAGTGCCTCCTCCCCCGCTTCGTCCAGCCCCCGAGTCATTTCCTGTTCTGCCTGCCTGTTCATGGGGTCGCCGCGCCGCTGAGATCGTGCATGCGGTCGTGCTTATGTCGGCTCGAGTGAATTTCAGACTTTGCCCCAACTTGATGTCGGAATCGTACAAGCGACTCACCAACGCTGTCTGTGTTGAAGCCCATGGTTATAGATGTGCACGGTCCTTTTAGATGTCATGTTATGGAGATCCTGCTAAGGTGTAACAACCTGTGAATTATCAAGACCCAGGAGTGGACAGAGGTAAGCGTGGCGATCATATTGCCCAGCCTCAAGTTCGAGCGACGCAGCGCCAGAGTGTATGAGTGCAACTGGAACGACTGCAGTTCCAATTTCGCCGCTGTCTTCATACCTTCATGTGATCTGGTTTCTTTGTTGTACAAGCTGTGCCAACTTAGTTTGTTTGAGTCTCGTTTATTGTCCTTGAGGCCAAGGCCCTCTGTAGACGATAGTACAGTAGTCTAGCAGTCGGAGGCTCGTTAGTTGATATACGCCGATCCTCTCATACGGTGCCAAGAACGATGTACACGTGAACATATGCTGAATTGTGAACAGCCACATGCCATAATTGTCAGTGCCAGTCAGTACTACGCACATATTGGAAAACGCAGACAAAGACACTATGGATTTCTGAACTGAATCAAATAATGATAGATCATCCATCCCGACTTGGACTCTCAGAGTTTCCAGAACTTGGGAGTCCATGATTCTTACTGGGCTAGGCCATTCGAAAGCTATTCCAGTCTTTCAGGAGCACTGAGCAAGCCCATTGTTGTCTTGGATAAACATCTTGCCAGCGACGACGTAGCCTCCAACCGCAGCGACCATCATCAAAGTGGTGAATAATAAGAAGGGCCACCCGCGCCATATCAGGTGGTTTAGCGACGTGTAGGGAGCACCTTCTGCATGACGCGCGAACGGGATATAGGAGACTTGACTTGCACAGAGCCACGCCAGGGTCCATGCGCGCTCGGATGGGGTACTGCTTTGTCGCTTGAAACCGGTCAGAACGAGGAGGAGAATATACGGTAGAACGAATGCCAGGAAGAGAAATCCCCACGTCAGGATGCGACGTCTCCAGATCACGGGTACTCGCATGAATCGGGTCTTGATTACATTCACCAGGGCGCCTACAGGAACGTCCTCGTTGGTGACCGAGCCGATGCCAAAGCGGTAGGTGACGTGAGCGGCGTCTACATTGGTAGTATACTTAAATCTCCTGACAGTCTCCCCGACTCTGACGATTAGCATTCTAGTCCCCTCATAATGTGTGCGAGCATCGAGCATCAGGTGCGCCGCTACCCATCCGGGATCCATGCTCGACATAAGAGACTCGGCGGAGGCACCGAAGCTCGCCCTCAGATTTTGGGGCGGTACTTCCAGCTGAGTTATATGCTTCTCAAGCGATGCGTCTGGGGGAGCATGGGATTCGAGAACTGAACAAGGCTCGACGTCGGCCTCTGATTTCGCGGTAGACAGTGGGCGTTCCGGAGGCTGAGGGAATCGGGGGCGTTTCAGTGTCCCGATTACCCCGTCAAACAGGCCGTCAGGACGCTTCGCCGCTTCCTCCACAATGGACGTTCGGAGAACGTATATGCATGGATAGTCGCTAATCAGGTACATCGCCATGAAATTTGCGGCCGTCATGATTGCGTAGGGAATGACAGTGAGGCCATATGCGGCATATCCGTATCTGTAGAGTTGGTCGCCGCGTGAGCGGTAAATCGTGATGGATGCTGCAAGGAGCTGGGCGATTGATACGGCCATCTTCAGCCAGCTCTGCGAGCGTGCGAGCATGATCCCCTTTGTCGGCTCCAAGCTGGTTTTCATGATGTACAACCCAAAAGGTATATTGACCGCAGCCCAGGTGTATCCGCGAGGCAGCTTCATCTCACCATTGAAGTTGCAGTGGCTTAGATCCACCTCTGTGTGCGCTATGGGATCACGGGGGTTCTTGGAGCGATTATGAACCGCGTAAAGAGCGACGGTGGACGACTCAGCAGTCCTGGATAACAGTCAGACAGCAAAAGCAGTGAAGGGCGGATGCACATACTGTTCGTTAATTTCGTCCAATCTCTTGAGTCCTTCGGGTAATTTTATATACACGAGCTCCTCGTGCATATCTGACGGCTCCCACTTCTCATTTCGAGCAACGAATACGAGAGCCCCCCGAGCCAACGCGAGCTGAACATTATCACCGTCGTGAACGGAGACATAACGCTTGATCATCCCCCAAGACCTTCCGAGGCCGGCGAATGGGAGGAAAAGTACAACAATGGTCCATAGAAGCGTATCATAGGGCTTGGCGCCGGCGGTTGTGGGAACGGTGGCTGCATGAGCGATGAAATTGGAGCCAAGGAATACTAGCATGTCCCACCAGACTAACGCATTCTTGTAACAAACCACCGAAGCGCTGATAGGCGCAGAAAGAACAGGTATTGCAAGAAAGAGGAGGAACATAGCGCGCCCGAGATGGGAAAAGGGAACGGGGAAAGCCCCTGGATATGAGGACATTCGAATCATGGCCGTTAAACTGAGAGAGCACCAACGCCATTCCCGGAGCTTTTAACGACGTAGAAATAGGTCATGTCAACGGCAAGGCAGCACCGGGAGTGTAAATACGGGGGGTATGTTTTGAACCACATACACGAGGTTCCTGCTTGGTAGATTGGGAATCGCGGAAGGCTCATGGTGAGCGCTTCCATTCCTCTGTGACAGCATGGAAGCCGGCCGATTAGCCGATGTTCAGAGTAACAGGCAGCAATGTCTATGTGGACTGATTCAACAGATAAGTACTCGCGTAGGTAGCATGAAGTGGATGTTTAAGTCACAACACACGCACTTACTCACCCATGAGAACCATTGCGCGGTAAGTGGGCTGTACGAGTAAGTAAACGATGACTATCTGCCAAGAGAGATGAGCCGCATGTCCTTGTCGTAATCAAGTTGAGGGCCATCCCGTGTCGCGACGATTTGTTAGAGCAGTGTAAGATAACGCATACAGGTATGTAACTAGGCGTTACCCATGAATATGGAATCACTGAATTCACGAAACGAAAAACACGCACCCTTGAGTCACGATGTACATCTTCCTATGGTACATGTGGAGCTGGTCAGTGTGAGACGTGTTATACTAGCTGCGAGTTCGGCAATATACATGACCACCACTCCGAAGCAGGGTAATTGCATGCCAGGGGGTGTACAACGTCAACCACGCGCAACACAGAGGTAATTGATGCTGTATTGGCGTGGATACCAGCGAAGATGGACCTCGAGAGCAGTAAACTAGCATTGTCTATAAAGGCGGAAGAAACGTTAGCATGGAAGATCTTGATGATGAGGACTTAGCTCCGGCCCACGATTTACTCTCAATTATCCATGTAGCTTTCACGGAAATAGCCACAGGTGATAAACATTCAGCGATTTTAACTACTTACCGACTCGGAGGGATATTTCGCTTTGGCTGCTACCGTGACTAGCCAGTAGCAATCTAGACGACTCTCGCTGGTCAATTACACATTCCAGTGCTCGATGAACCTGGGGTGGTCTGCACTCGGTATTAGCTGAATGGAGAGAATAGTGCCATGATGTTCTACGCTCAGCTGCTGTGGGCGTTGCGTTTATCGCGACCGTCGAGTTAGCTGCCAGTTGGTTGCCAGCGCCCTCTTGTGTGCACACACCATATGGCGGACCAATGCGTTCAGGGACTTTTGCCTCACTCGCCGTCTCATGCCGGCCAAGACTGTACCAGATACCTGAGAATGGGACCGGTTCAAAATTTCTTACCAGCCCGACCGGGTTGCAGCTCGTATAGTGGAGTCTTGGAAGGGTGACCCTGATCGATATCCGATATCCACCTCCTGCGTTCCTTGGGAACGTCGACAATCTCGTACCTGGCGCACTCGGCCAATTACAGGCGAGTGAGGCGGAGACGGACGTGTCTGGGTGACTACCGCCCGTGATATGCTTAACATTTGATTCTTACACTCTAAACAACCAGAATTTAAATTAAATAAAATAAAAAGAGTTAGCTGCCAGCGGATCCTATCTCTGGCTCCAACTGAATATTCCGAGTCGTTCGGCGCTTGATGGACTTGAACCACCACCTGCACTCGCAGGTGATCTCGTACCTAAACGTGTCGAAGACACTTTTGCCAATTTATCCTCCTCCTCCTCCTCCTCCTCCTCCTCACAGGTGTCGTCAACGTCGGCAACCAGCCTCTCGATCTCCGCGGTTCAAAGACAAAAACAGTAGAACCACGGGAGATGAAAACAATACGGAGTACAGTGAGTACTAGGGGGCAATGGAAGAGGGGGTGAGCTGCGTCGCATCGAACTACATAGCACAGCGAGTGCATCCTCCGGAAATACAAATCTTTAGGCTCAACTCGCTTCCAGAAGTTCCACAGGCTCTATAGTTTCTAGTTCACCAATCATTTCGGGGGAGATCCGATGCTTGGTCTGGCGGTATAGCGACGAAAAATCACTATCAGTTTACTGAGCTCATGCGCCAACCAGGCTGTTACTTCGTAGCTGGCAGGATCGAGCTTGTACAGAAGAACGGCGGGTACAGGAATATACACGACGTTTCGGTGGCAATATGTGACGGTGTCGATGATCTGCTTGGGTGGTCAGCGAACGTCGCGTTCCCTGGGCTTCATTCGTTTCTCTGAGCTTCTGCATCGCGTCGGAGTGTCCTGTCACGCTAGTAACTCTTTGGCATTGGCTGATAGTATATATGTACTCATGTGCAGAGGGGTCATTATCCTTCTTGGGTAAGCCTTTTGTAATCGTATATGACAGCACGCTGATTCAACACCTGTAGTACTTGGTTCATGTGTGTGCGTGTCTCGTCATTCACATAAAATTCGAGTTAAGCCCTACATGACTTACGACGGCCTCCACCATTGCAAAGGTTTGAACGTCGCCACGTTTGGAGATGCTTTGGGTCTGACAGGCCTGGATGCGAATTTCCACAATAGCAAGATAAAGACCACCACGATAACTTAACCCAGGAGTACTTTCTATCCCAAAGTCACCCTCTGTGTACTTTTGCGGAGCCCGTTTAGAATATTACGCGATTAACAAGTGGGAGATCCTACAGAAACTGTGTGGCCTCTCTGTCGCTGCCCTCTTTGAACATTGTCTGAAATATGCACCGTGAGTGTACATTCCAATATAAGACGTTGTGATCGTACATATTGCGAAGTTAGGGCGAATGCCTCAGTAGATTTTCCCACAATGTGGCGGCGTACAGCCATAGTATGATCGTATGGCGGCAATAGTCACCGCACTACTCTTCCGACCCTTTCTCGTTAACCATTACCGCTGCAGCTATGGGACAGTATTGGACTGTGTATGTTTTCAGTCATCTAATTCTCATGCATCGTGTTTACAAACTAATCTGATCATTCCAGCTGCAATTTAGATCAACGGGAATGCCTCTCCTCCGGGGGAAAATTGGGCGAATTTTTGTTCTCTGGATCTGAACGCCTGTTAGTTTACTATTTGGCAGTTCCACTCCCACCCCTCCCGTCTCCTGTAAGCACCTTTCTTCTCAACTCCACGAGTCGACAACTGAACCTCGAGCATGCAGCTACGCGCACGACATATTGCACACTATGGAACGAGAAACACACCACTTGGGAAGCTCAGCTTACCTTCAGAACTATTGTCTTTGATCTGCGAAAACATTGACAACCTCTTGGATGCCATCTCGTTTGGTCTCACGAACAGCATCCTTTTCTGTATCGCTGAGAAGAGAATTTCTAAGCTGCAGTGTGATGAAACGGCTTCCTGGGTCGGCGGTCGTATCATATGTCTTGGAGACTATATGGAAGATGATGACCTACCCGAGGGTATGATGACGAAAGTCGAGCTCGAGGCTATCCACAAGCGTGCTGAACTCAGTGGCTTCGGTACCGACGACGTCAGTACGCTTCACGACATCGCATGCAACACTTTTCGCAACCGATCATGGCGTAAAAGCTTGTGCGGAGACTTCCACAAATATTCCTGTCGCCTATCGAGAGACGAGCGTAAGGAATTCTGGAGGCTTTACGATCCTATCCATGAAATCGAAGGCGAGATTCATCTTTGGGTACTCTGCAACTTGTCCAAGCGAGAGTTTGTACGTGCGGATGCGACAGCCAGGTTGACAAAAGCCGAGTCGCAAGGCCCGTTCATCCAAAGCCATATCAATTTCGGGACAGTGTTAGTTTCACGCATCTGCTGGTCATCGGACAACTCTACCGCGTTGAGCTACGGAGGACCAATCCATCGCGGGGCGTGGGCGGGCGATCGCTTTGTGATCACAACTTTGGACCGCCTCGAAGCTTCGTCAAGTTTCAAGGATATCACGAATGAGGCTCTGAAGGTGCTTACAGATATATGGTCTCAAGATTATGCTGAATGAGGAAGAAGAGGATGAGTTGAACAACTCCGAATCAAGTGCCGTCACGATCTGCACGAGACGGGTGGGCGGTAGAATATAAAATCTGGGGTTCAAAAGACGCATTGTAAATACGCTATACTTGACAAAAGTCTCGTGAGCACATGCCGATGCGTGAAGGGTGTCGGAAGGCACAGTCGACCGTCCCTCGCAAGGTGTTTTCGCGCGCACATGAACGAAGTGTCTTGTGGATTACTCAGGAACAAATATTGCACTTAGCTAGGCTGTTTATCGCAAGGCGAGAGATTCCGATTTCACTTTAAATTGACTCGAGATCTTGGTTGGACGCAAACGGCAGGGATGTCTGGAAACTTGTCTGGCATACACATGAAGCTGTGCACAAACGAGCCTCACCAAGCTCAAACTTCAGTTCGGGAAGCCCACTGGTTTTATCGGCGCCAACGTCCCATAAAAGGCAATCCCATGACGGTATGCGGCGGCAGGAGCACGTGCCGAGGGTACTTACAGGGGGGAGGCGGCGGAACTTTGCTTTTTCGCTCAACTATCATCATGACCCGCTTAGATCCCCACTTCTATGGCAAAGTTGGTTCGACGGAGGTCGGCCCTAAAGATGTCAAGGGCGAAACTCGCATCCGGAGGAATACAGTGACGAAAGACGAGATCGTAACACAGCCCTGGGAAGGTATTGACACTGTGTACGACATTCTACTCTACGCGGCGCGAACACATGGCGCGAAGGACGCTTACGGCTCTCGAGAAATCATTCGAACACATGAAGAGGCAAAGGAAATCAAGAAGGTCGTCGGTGGAAAAGAGGTTACGGAGACAAAGACTTGGAAGTTCTTTGAACTGAGCGACTACAAATATATGAGCTTCATCCAAGTCAAGGAGGCGGCATTCGAAGTGGCGGGCGGCTTGCTCGAACTCGGCATCACCAAGGACGACGTGGTCAATGTATATGCTGCGACCAGGTGAGTCGTCTTACTTGCTTTGCTGACGTTATCGGGGATGCTGAATGAGCTCTCAGCGCCAATTGGCAGCTAATGTCGTATGGCTGTTCAATCATCTCGACCCCAACCGCGACAGCTTACGAGACGCTCGGCGAGTCAGGCTTGCAGCACGCGCTGAACGAGCCTGAATGCGTAGCCATCTTCACCAACGCAGACCTGTTGAAGGTCGTTGCCAATGTCACAGCGAATGTCCCGTCTCTCCGGCTTGTCATCTACGATGGCGAGGCGAGCCCTTCCGTCATCGAGAAGATCTCCAGCGTGCGCGAAGGTATCAAGGTGTTGACACTGGACCAACTCCGTGAGCTCGGCCGAGGGGTCCCAGAAGAGAGGGTGACGAGCAGGACACCTGTGCCCTCGGACGTTGCCTGCATCATGTACACTAGTGGCACCACGGGGCCGCCCAAGGGCGCGGTCATCACACATGCGAACGCCATCGCCTCCCTTGGCGGAGTGTACAGGTATCTCGGGCATCACCTGCGGCAGGAAGACGCATTCCTCGCATATCTTCCGCTCTCACATGTGCTCGAATGGATCGTAGAGCTCTGCCTATTCTTTATAGGGATGAGGTTTGGATACGCACGCGTGCGGACGCTAATGGACAACTCGGTACGCCACTGCCTCGGCGATATCCGGGCGTTCCGCCCGACCATTATGATTGGTGTGCCGCAGGTATGGGAGATGATCAGGAAGGGCATTGAAGGTAAAGTGAGTGCGAGCGGGTCGTTCAGGAAGAGTATGTTCAACGGGGCGGTCAGCATCAAGAGGGCAGGCGTCCCGGGCCTGAGCGAGCTTGCAGACAGCGTGGTGCTCAACCAAGTGCGGTCTGCGACTGGCGGGAGGTTGCGCTTGGCGTTGACGGGTGGTGCTGCGTTGAGCAATGAGACCCAGGAGTTCTTGTCACTTGCTCTTGTTCAGGTACTTCCAGGTACGATCCCCTTCTCTTTCACTGAGCGTACGTTTATAACACACATTCTCCGCAGGATACGGTATGACAGAGACATGTGGTATGAGTGCCGTCTTCCCGCCCGAATTCTCGGGGCTCGGATCTGTTGGCCTGCCTGTTCCTTCAATGGAGATCAAACTTGTAGATGTCCCCGAAGCTAACTATTTTGCAAGCAACAATCCTCAACAAGGCGAGATCTGGGTGCGCGGCGCGTCATTGATTAAAGGCTACTACAAGCGCGACGACTTGAATAATGACCCAAATATCTTCACTCAAGATGGATGGTTCAGGACAGGTGATGTCGGGCAGTGGAATCCCGATGGTACTCTGCGCATAATTGACCGGTCAGTATTTGCTGCCTCTGATCATTTAGTCTCATTGCTTACAACGCACCGACTTATGTAGCATCAAGAATCTTGTGAAGTTGCAAGGTGGAGAGGTACGCATGTTGTATTACTTTGGTATTTGTTGTGTGAACGATCTTGGTAGTACATCGCTCTTGAACGCCTCGAGTCGATTTACAAGTCTTGCAATTTGGTGTCAAACATTTGCGTCCATGCTCACGCGGACGCGAAGCAACCCATCGCAATCATTATTCCCCACGAACAACAGTTACAGTTTGCGCTTGAGACTAAGTCAGTCGGACCGCCTCCGCACAGTTCGATGCAAGACCTATGCCAGGACACGCGCGTACAGGAACTTGTACTGAAGGAGTGCCTCGCGGTTGGGAAGAAGAATGGGTTCAAGTCAATAGAGCTTCTCCAGGCAGTTGTCCTCACCGCGGATGAGTGGACTCCTGAGAGTGGGCTTGTTACCGCTGCCCAGAAGGTACAGAGGCGCAAGGTGGCGGAGCGATACGCGTCAGAGATTAAGGTACGTTCAGCCTCGTCTCCATGCCTCACAGAGTCTGACACTTGCTTCCATTCTTCTAGAGTGCATACAAGCTTGGTTAATGTGTAGAAGCGGTCTGATACCCTACATGTGGATCAATCATCTTCGTCGTAATTCTGGTACATTGCCAACTTCATTGGTTTCGAATCTTGTAATCGCGTCCGTCTTCCCATACTTGTAGTTCTTTGTAACATCAATGACTTGTTGGATCTGCTCTTCGATATTTCTCTTGATAACGAATACAATCACAGCCTACAGCAACTCTTGTACATGTTGAGTGCAATGCAAGGAAATCAATACATATGCAATAGTCGCAGAATATAAGTACAAAATTTTGAACCTTTAGATGAGTTTTTGGCAGGTCGAGGTGAGCAGCGCGAGGAGTGCGAGATATCACCCTTCATGACGTGTCCGCCGCACCGTCGTCCGTCTTGACCTTTTTAACGCTCTGGATGGCCGGGACAGCTTGTCCACGCATGCCAACATCGGGCCCGCCATCAGGCTCCACGGCACGCTTCCTCTTCTCGCCTGTTTGCTCGTCA